GGGGGGGTGCCATTTCTCTTTTGCCTGGTTGTGTCTGCTTTTAATACTTTTGGGTCAGGGATCTGGAACAAGCATGCTGCAAGTGAGTGTCAGAAAAGTGTCAGAATTCCTTATCTCTATGCTTGTTCCAGGTCAGTGACTCAGACAACATTGAAGCCAAAAGCATCAGCTTGGCAGCCAGGGAATGAACATATTCAAATGGAGAGGTCAACACTGGCAGCCTACATAATTCGATCATGACAGGTGTACTTAAACACAGTTGTGATGCCAATGCACTAATTGACTCATATTCCATGGATAATCATCTCTTGGATTTTTGTTCCATATCCATATATCATATAAATCTTTGACACCATGGCTCAGAAAATCTTCTGGAAAAAGGGCGTAATCCTTGTAACATCATGAATTTACATGATGGTGACCAAAGAATTACTTAATACAGCTGAATAATTACCTCTTCCATCTGGTATTGATATAGGTGATGATTGTACTATGTTTTTAATTTCTTCCACCCATCATCTCACTTTTTTCTAGTATAATTTATCATATTTGACCTAAAGCTAGCTTATTCTCAACAGTTTTAAAGCATAGGCAAAACTATCAAATGTTACTTGATTATATGAATGTAAATGTATCAGATTTGGCTTATCAGAGTTAAAAATCATTCCATTACAACCAGTGAGAATTATGTTAAAATGAAATGCAGAACCTAAAGCCAGTAGACAACAGATGGAATGTGTTACTGTTTAGCTAACTTTTGAACAGCATAAGTATGCCTATACCTGACTATGCAACGGGAACTGTGCTTTACTGTTCTGAATATAATACTAATTTTTAACTGACACTGTTCAAGAAGTTTCATAAATTCATTTTTGTTCTGATTGATGACAGATATGAGGAAAAGTTATTGCTACCGAACTTACAATGGAACTATGTGTGAGAATGAGCTTCCCTTCAATGTCACCAAGAAGTTGTGCTGCTGTACATATAACATTGGTAAAGCCTGGAGTAAGCCATGTGAGCCATGCCCCACTCCTGGCACAGGTACAGAACCAATATCTTAATTTTTTCCATCAGTTTTCTTCATTTTTAAATTTATCTTTCAACAATGTCTGATATCCCTCTTTAAAATAAATTGTTATGGTTTCCGTATTTATGTTCCATTCTATTGTCTCTGGCTGTTGTTATTTTCTTTTTGTATTTACTGTATTATCCTACTATTTTTCACTGTATACTGCAAGAGCCTGTAACTCTTTGACTGCATGTATGTGATCTGATTACATACACATTGGAAATACACTTTTCAAGAGACAAGTATGACAGTAGATGGGTCATGCATCGTTGTCACCGATAAGACATTTTTACTCATGCCATATATTAGACAAGACTGTTGAAGAAAAATTAGTCCTGCACCAAAGGCTTTAGGATTGTTTCTTAAATATAGCTCTTTTACGCCCTATGGGGCAGAGAAGGATGGGAGGGAAACCACTATAGCAAAGCAAAGGGAGGGGGGGGGGAGCGAGTAGGCGCCAAGACGGGCTGCTTGCTCTACTCCATTCCACCCTAGAGCTCTCCTCAATTAACGATAACGGTGGAGCTACTCTACCATCTGAAACCTACTGCAGGGTCGCACTAAGAAATGAACCTTAACCTTACGATAGGGTATATAGTGTTCAATTAGTCCAGAAGGTTCATATATGCAAATTTATTGACAAGAAAAAAAATGTTGATGGTGTCATATTAGACATGTTGTAAACACTTGATGGGATCTTCAACACAATAAAATATTTTTGAAAAAAAAAAATAGCTCTTTTATTTTCACATAAAAAAGCAGCAATTAATAGAAAAAATAAGAATATTTTAAAAAAGTCAAACAAGTACTAGTGCAGAGGCCGGTGGCTTGGTGACAATAGGCAATTTTTTATGGCGGCTTGGTGTGTACTCTACAATTCAGTAGACAGACAAGTTAAGAATAAAATGTAAAAAAATCTATCTTTAGTACTGTGTATGCCTATGTCAATTGGATTTTTGACAGGTGCATTTGATCTGCATCCAGGGGTTATGCATTCCCTTAGACTAGTATAAAAATGCGAAACCCGTTTAAAGTGAACAAAAGCCTGTCCACACAGGTCCTAAAACATGATGCGAAATGTTGCAACAGAAAACAAGTAAAAAACAATTGATAAATCCTGCAGGTGACAAATAAAATGGGGGTAAAAGTAAAGACTATAGGTATATATGGTAGGGTAGCAACATACTTTAGCTTTTGTCAGATGTTTTAAGATTAAAGTAAAGTTTTCACTGACTATAACAATAAATAAGGCAACTTTCATGTTACAATGCACAAAAATGAGTATCTGATTGGCCAATATTGGCAACAAGTACTTTCCTTCCCTTGCATACTTTGAGTATGACCAAAACCTGTCGAGAACCTTTGTGGCAAATTAGAAAATCCTTTCCTTTGGTTTAATTTGTCTGATGCTACAATATTATGCTGTTCCTATATGCAGTACAGTCCATTCCTATATGTTCTAAATCTACATTAAATGTCCTTATGCTCATAATTTTCCATCGCTTTACATGCACTAAGACATTGTATGTATTAACATTCCACAGCAGTGACTGTCTCATTGTCAGTAAACTAAGTGGGCAGGGTGCTGTTATAAGAGTAATTACAAATTGAAACATTCCCTCTCTACAGGGATTGCATTTTGTGGAAACAAGCCTCTTGCAACTGCCATTAAACCACGGCTCTATAATTATTTTAATGGATTTACTAAATTAATTGCACGGTGTCAGCAGGGAGCAATTTGGAAGTTTTGTCATACAAAGGAAAGAAGCCTGCCAGTTTTATGAAATAAAGAAATACCTAGCTTCTTACAAATAAAGGTCAACAGCAAGCTGGAAGCATTTTGCATTTAAGTGTTAAGATACCGGTGGGGTAGAGGATGCTTAATTCAATAGGATGAGTTTGAAGAGACATATTTATTAGTCTGTAAACATAGCTTGAAGTGCAAACAGAAGTCCCAGTATTATGCGTAGTGGGATCCATTTTTTTGTTGTACTGGTATTAAGAAATCAGAGTACATGTCACTCTGATTGCAAATGTTACCACTGAAAAAAAAACACCTACTACACTTTATATTGTTAAACTAGCCATGCAGCAGTAGAGTCGTCCACTCTTTTCCTAGTTTACAGGGCCAATATCTTTTATAGATTTGACCGTACATGTGTTTGGCCAAATCAAATCAAAATATTTGTAAGTCTGATTTATTGACTGTACAGGAAGTAGAAAACACACACACACATATATGATACTGGTATACAGTACTTTGGTACCAAGCTTTCAGTTAAATGAGTGAATCTTGCACTGGCTTATATTTCTTAGGGACAAAGAGCATTGTAGAGAAACTGGCACACAAAAAGAATCCAATTGATGCAAACTTTATTACAAAGGCATTAAATACAGCAAATGGTTGCTGTTTTTAATACCATAGTAATAAAGTTTGCATGAGTGGATCCTTTCCGTGTGCTGGTTTCTCTACATTTCATTTCATGGTGTCTGGCAGAGACCAATTTTGAGCACCATAGTTGCAGCCCGAATATCAGTATAGGGGGTTAAGCAGCTTTGATTTGTTTGTTTGTTACAAAGGTAAAGAGATCTCAACTGGAACAGACCCCTGATCTGTCATGCCCTCCAACATAGCATGTTCTTCCTTCTGCTGCAGTTGGATGAGTGCTTATCCTTCTCTTGAATTCTCTGTACTAGTCATAAATACATACAAAAATAAGAGGAGAGGCAGAGTGAGAACCCCCTAGCTATGATTTTCATAGGTAGAAGGAGCAGGGCAGCCTTCAGTTTCGGACCCCAAACAATGATATATTCTCTGAAAGCAGAGGCCCTGTAGAGTAAAAAGATGCTAGTTGCAATTTTTTGCAATGTTACTTTAATTTTTACCTTTTTTTTACACTCAGCTTTACTGCTATCACATAGCGGACTAAAAAGCCCCTTATGTAATAGCACATATGTGACAGGTCCTCTTTATGGAGACGTCAGGGGTTTTTCATACCCTAATGTCACCTAGGGAACCCAAAGAAGCTGATGAAGCAGAGATCTGCTTCACCAGCTTCTTCTTTTGGCTCTAAGGGGTTGTCCACACCACTTGCAGTGCGTCCAAGCCCGATTCCGGCCGGAACACACTGCATCACATTGCGGCCGGCTCAATTTTTGCCGGGTAGGAGGGGGAGTGGCGGGCCATTGTAGTGAATGGTGCCATAGCCACGCCCTCTGGCCACAATGCAAGCGCCCACACGGGATCGCAGGGCACATTGTGCCTGCATCCCGATGCGGTCAAAATAGTGCTTGCAGCATTTTGACCGCACAACACTGAAACGCACTGCAGGCAGAATGTGCCCTGCGATCCTGTGCAGGCGATCACATTGCGGCCGGAGGGCGTGGCTACAGCGCCATTTACTTCAATGGCCCGCCACGCCCCCTCCTGCCCAGCACAAAAATGAGCCAGCTGCATTGCGATGCAGTGCGTTCCGGCCAGAACGCACTGTAAGTGGTCTGAACAGGCCCTAAGAGCCAGAGACTGTGTACAGTGACACCGGAAATTATGTAAGGCACATCACTTCCGGGTCCAGTGATCGGAGGAGAGATCCGCAGCTAGAAGCCACTGATCTCTCCTCCGATGTGTCAGGGGAGAACCTGCACGTGCGGCCTGGGCTCACACGAGGGACAGATGAGCCCAGGAAACTGACGGTGGGGGGGGGGGCACAGCGCCGCACCGTGCAAGCGATTCAGCGCCTGTACAGACGCTGGATCGCTTGTATTTAAACAGCAATCGTCAGCTGTTTAACACGGTACAAGAACATGGCTTCAGGAGCAGCCGTGTTCTTGGTATAACCACTTCCAGCGGATGACGCACAATTACGTGAACCCGCGGGAAGTGGTTAAAAAAAAACAAACAAAAAAAAACACGTGTAATGAAACACGCACATATCACACACACTCATTAAAAAACACACACATAGCTTCATAAAAAAAAAAAATCACACACATTCATTAAAACACACACAATAAAAACACACACACATTAACAATTAAAATAGTTATTTAAAAAACGTCCCCCTCTCTTGCTTACCTGTTTTGCAGGAAGGGGGTCAGCATCCCTGGGCTTCAGTGGAGAATCGGTGTGCTCTGCACTCTGGCTGATGCAGGCATACTAATCGATCCCTGCCTGTTAGCAGAGGCACCACGAAGGAGCGATCAGTATGATCTGCATCAGCAAGACATGCAGATCATGCTGATTCCCCACTTGACAACCAGGGAATGATTTTCATTCAATATATTGCCTGTTCGGCAATATATTAAATGATATGTGGGCGCTTGCCAGCTTTAAAGATGGCCGCCTCTACTCGCAGCGGGCATCTTTAAAAACGAATGTACAGTGGAGAGACCCCCTGGAGACACCGGAGGAGGCATCCCAGGTGAGGGTCTGGAGCATGCGGGCCCCAGCCTCCTCCGGTGCTGCGGGGGGCCCGGCCACATCCTGGTCTGTCACTTGAACGGCCGATACTCATGTAAGGTGCCCGGGCCCTTAAGCCTGGCCCGGCCCCTTACATCAATATCGGCCGTACCCCCCTGACGGCGGCCCTGAGAAGGAGCTGAGGAGAGGTTAATATATGTTTTGGGTGAGCTGACAATTTTATTATTTTTAAATAATTTTTAAATAATTTTTAGTTAATTATCATAGTTGCATAATTACATAGTATGTGAGATTGAATAAAGACACAGGTCCATCCAGTTCAACGTGTGTGTGTGTATGTATGTGTGCGTGTGTGTGTTTGTGCTCGCGTGTGTATATATGAGTCCCTGTGTGTTCTAGTCTTTAAGAGTATCCGTACCCCTGTATGTTATGGTCTCTGAGGAAGGTATCTAAATGATCAAGTAATTAGAGCCAAGAAGATGTGGCTTACATAAAAAGAGAAAACAAAAGCATGTCTTTGGGCTTTACACATTTATCAGAAAATGTCATGGACAGTCCATTTTACTATTTTTGATTTTAAAAGTAAATTATGTCCTTGTATTTTCCAACCAGTATTGTTTTTTTTTGCTATTACCATGTGGTACATTATCTCTTAGTACTATATAATTATCTGTAATATTTTACCATTTATAGTTAATTTCAGAAATCTTTGTGGATCAATCCCTGGCTTTACCTTTGATATCCACACTGGAAAGGCTGTAGGTAAGCTATGAATTAAAATATATGGGTTTTCTGATTTCTAAGATTGAGGCTTGTGTATGTGTAATAAAGCAAAGGAGATACAGAAGACTTGACCAGAATGAGATTAAATAAATGAGATTAGAGATTCTGATTGGATGACAAAGCTAAGCTTCACATATCCTTTTCTTCCAGTCTTGAACTGTAGAAAGAACAACCGAAATCTGATAATGAAAATCATTATTTATATCAGGCCCCACTGATGTTTGAGTCTTCTAGTCTCTACCACTGAGACACAATTTTCATTTACAATATTGTATATAATTTATGCTGAGAAAAAGAGGAAGAACATTTACCATTTGATCCTTTTCTATCCAATTGTTTATGCCTGTTTTATCTGCTATTCATTTTAGATATTGATGAGTGCAAAGAGATCCCAGGGATCTGTGCAAATGGAGTTTGCATCAATCAGATTGGCAGCTTCCGCTGTGAATGTCCAACTGGGTTTGCCTACAATGATCTGCTCCTCATCTGTGAAGGTATTCTTTTCATTTTATACACCAAATCTTCTATTAATGTGAAATAAATGTTTCCTTAACTTATCAATATCATGCAAGTGGTGAAAGTTAATAGGCCTTCAAAGAGATTGAAATGATGGGTCACCTCACTCGCTCTCGTGGCAGGCAAAAATTCCAATTGAACTTGTCATAAGTACCCATATAGGTACACACTTTACTCATTAAAACAACATACATTCCGTAGAGATAGAGTAATTTACATAGGTAACAGGCCCATCTCTAGGATCTAGCTGCAATGGATTACACAGAACCTATATTAAGCTGAGCTGAGTGGACTTTCAGTTTGTATAGCTCAACCTCAGTGTTTCTTAGGCAGCATGGACTGATTTCACTTGTTGCCTAGGATAGCCCTTTAAGGGGTGCATATAAGGAACAAGACTGCCAAATGTGCCATAGTTAAACTAATAGTGCAATAATCTCTCAATATATGGAGCCCAAACAATTACACAGTGGCTCCTCAGTACACCAGAACCTTGCCAAATCGCAGAGATTAACCAAAATAGCTTGGTTTCAAGTAGTTTTGCTGAGTTGCCTTATAAGTTCTGAAGATAGAAAATCTAGTTCAAGTCCAAGGATAAATATCTAAATATTTTTTTCTGAACCATTGAAAAACTCTCTGCATGATCAATTGCATCATACAATGATAATATTGATTAAGTGACTTTAAAAACTAGAGTTTATACATTTCCACATCAGTTCAAATATGATCCTCCTGCAAACATCCAGCTAGAGAGAAATTGTCATTTAACCTGATCTTGTGTCTGAATTCACTTTAAAAAAAGACCCCTAAATGTGCTTACAAGGCAGACTTGCTGGATAAGCAAGCCATTGTTTATTTGTCCTAAGCCTGAATGTAGCATACTTTGATATTTCAGACATTGATGAGTGTACCAGTGGAGACTTCATCTGCCAGAGAAATGCAGATTGCTTAAACAGTCCTGGGAGTTACCGCTGTGAGTGTTCTGCTGGATTCAAGCTCCTACCCAATGGAGCCTGCATCGGTAAGTGTATACCCTGTACTGTTTCTATTTTTCCAAAGTCTACAGTTCTCATAAATTACATTAGCCGTCTGATGGAGTATAAATGATCCTGACCATATTTATTGATTTAAAGGGCTGCTAAACATCATTTACAAGCTGTTTATGGCATGCAATATATGGCTGCAATAACATTCATGGATGCATAAACTGTATGTAAAAAGTTTCCTGAAATGCTCAGAGTGAAAGATATTTAAAATGAAGGTAGTGAAGAGCAATACAGCTGGATTACTATCCAGAAATCGAAGAAAAGAAAATTCACAGATTTCATTGCCTCCTTTTTTTTTTTTTTTTAAAGGGTAAAAACATTGTACCAAATATGTTAGCTTTCAATTTCTAGCTGGTATTTTCTTTTAGCAGGTTGTATTTTTGTATGTGAGGAGGTACCAAGAGCTTAAATTACTAAAATACCTAAAGCCCATGGAGCACTAAGCATGTGTATTGTACACAATGTAGGTTTGATTTATGAAAGAAGTCTCTACTGCTTTAGTGAATTTCAAAGTGAATTTTTTACTTTTGCAAAGTGAATGTGGTGAAAATTCCATTTGCAAAGAATACCCAATCATAAGAGGGCTGGCGGCCAGTGTATGACCAGCTTAAGTGGACTATCAAGTCTGCCATAATTTTTGGCCATGCATTCAATGGTTTCAGTCATGTCCACGTCTTCCCTCCACCCCTTCTTTTTTCAAAACTGTCCATATAAGGTTGCTGCGGTCTCTACTGACATGTTTTCTATCTCTTAGACCTTGTTACCCATCTCTGGCCTCCCATATAGCAGCAGTAAATGTTGCACAAGTGTCACCGCCAACCTAAAATAATACATGAGTGACATTTTTATTCCCGCCTTTTTGTGTCATTAAAAAGCCATGTTCCTGGCCATTTGATATGGATTTCCTTTGAGGGCATATATAATGGATATACTGCATGTTCTGATAGTAACAAGAAAGTCTGTCCCACAAAGATGGCAAAAGTTACAAAAACATGTATTTACATAGGAAAAGTAACATATGTTTATCTTTTTATTCTAACTTGAAGGATACAAACATCTCTTTGAAAATTTGTACACTGTCATAATAAATAACATTACATAGAACAGGTCTTTGTAGGAAGAATTAGGGATAAAGCCAACATTTAATGCATTTATATGCACAGTGAAAATGTGTTTCCATTAGCTAATGTAAGCCTGAGGGTTGAACCAGTCTCTCCTATTCATTTTCCAACAACATATGTTTTATATGCTGCTCCATTCCACAGATCGCAATGAATGCCTGGAAATTCCCAATGTCTGTAGTCACGGCACATGTGAGGACACACTGGGCAGTTATCGCTGCATATGTAACAACGGCTTTAAGGCATCTCCGGAGAGGACTATGTGTATGGGTACGTGACTATGTGTATTCATCCATTCAGACAAAGCCATAAAACACAAAATGATGTGCTCATATTTAAATTAAATGCAATGATATTGTAAACATTTCTAAAATATGGGCAAGACATTAGCTAGCACTTTTGTCTCTCAGCATCAAGCTCATAGATGTAGGGGTCTATTCACAAAACTGCCGAAAGATCTAGCCGTAGCTTCGACTGATCCTTCGGCTAGCTTCGGTTACGGGAGGCCCTCTGTTCAGTCAAACTGAAAGCCTACTGTACGGGCTATTCACTATAGCTCGTACAGCTCCCAAAGATGGCCGAGGGGCTCAGACTGAGTTCAAGTTAAAGTCGAAGCTGGCCGAAGCATACGGCTGGCTCCGGTCACTTGCACAGACAGATCAGCGTCCCTGGTTTCATTACTCTCCCGGACGCTCCGGGAGTCTCCCGCTATTAGATAGCGGCTCCCAGCCGCCCGGGAGAAAAACACTTTCTCCCGGAAAGTTTTACTCTACTCGATCGAGCAGAGTAAATATTTCCCTGCTCTGTTGTTTTGTTTTTTTTTCTTCTGACATCGGATCCACCATAGCTACATTCCTATTGGCTTTTTCAATTTGCAATAGCAAACTAGCTATTGCACCCGCCCACTGCTGCTGTCAATCAGCAGAGGGGACCTGAAGTTCTCCATCAGGTCCCCATTTAGTGATTGAAAGCAGCAGAGGGCTGGTGCAATAGCCAGCTTGCTATTGGCTATTGCAAATTGAAATAGCCAATAGGAATCTATCTATGCATTCCTATGTTGTTGTTTTTTTTATTTTTTTATTCTGACGGCAGCAGAACCGCCCGGCCAATAGAAAACACTTTTTAAACAATTTCTATTCTGCTCTGCGGCATTCGGCTATTCACTCACTGCTGTTCGGCATCTATTAGAATAGGCAGAACTACAGCGAGCAGCCTGCCAGAGGTTCGGCTTAGCCGATCCAGATGTTGGATCGGCTGAGTCGAACTCCTTGCTTAGCATGTTCAGCCGACCCAAAGCCAGCCGCAGCAAGCCGATGTACTGCTGATTTCAGCTGATATACGGCTGACATCAGCCGTGCAACCCTGAAGTGAATAGCCGAACAGCGTTCGGCTCACTTCGGTTATTTACTGGGCTGCCTACGGCAGCTTTGTGAATAGACCCCTTAATTTCCATCCAGGAACACCATTAGCATGAACTGGCAGTCCAGATATAATCTAGAACAACTGATACAGGTTGTCTGAAGTTATTTCTAAAAAAATGACCAACACTGGTTTAGAACTAGTTAAAATAATCACTCTCAAAAGTATCCCAATGGTGTTACATACTTAAAAATTCACAAAATGAAAAGTGATCATGTAAGTGTTTACATTTCTAGAAGTATTCATTAGATATTCCTGTTGTAAGTTGTAAAATGATAGGAAAACATTTTATTGGGTAAAAACTTTTATTAGTTTAGGATCAACACTTTTTAAAAGTAGTTCACTTTGATATAAATATAGACATACCAGCAAACCAGGACTACTGAGACTCCCTATTGCCTCTACCTACAGAAATCAGGTCTAAACGCATTTTTCGGGGCATGTTTTTGATGTCCTTGATTAATCCACAATAAGTAAGGGTCACTGGAGACTTCCTATGCTCAAAAAAGGGGTTTTAGTGTACATGCTTGAATGTGTCATGATTTAATTTTACTCTTCTGTAACACCAGAGCCCATATAAGCATATTTTAGCCTTACATATAGTATTTTGAAGCAAATAAAGCAATAATTTAATCACTATGGTGGAATCTGTTTGCCTAAGACAATAAGAGCAGTGCACTTTTCCACCTCTGTATAGACCTTTCTATATGCGGTAAACTTTGTGTTCGCACAGAAAGTAGCAGAAGACAAGCTGTGGATTTTCAGTTTTTGTTGGACTACAAATGATTTAATTTTAGCCAACCAGTGTTTGGGGAAAATGCCGAACTGTCATGAAAGTTACTTTAACCACAGCAGGAAGAATGTTTTCTCCTGTTTCATGTGTATCTCTTTGGCAGATATTGATGAATGCGAGCGCCAGCCATGTGGAAACGGAACTTGTAAAAACACTGTAGGATCATATAACTGTCTCTGCTATCCTGGATTCGAACTCACTCATAATAATGACTGTATGGGTAAGTTCTTTATGACGCTAATGTGTCTTTGGTGATGTTCATAGGTCCTTGTGAATATATAGTTAGGATTTTGCATGCTGTGGGAAACATAAATGAAGCAACAATAGATATTATTATAAGGGTATGCTGTCCATCCTGGGTAAACACATTGTTTTCTTACTTTGAAATAGTAATTTTAAAGGAATGCTGCTGTAGCCAGTATAACAGTGATTAGTGCCAGCTACAAGCAACATTCAACAACATATGAAAAATTTGTTTTACTGTACATATTCATTGGTTAGCAGATTCCATATTTCCTCAACACAGGCTCAAGAAGATGGTTTATAACCAAGTACAAGATGGATTAAATGCTTACTAATATTCCGCATACACCTGCATTTTACTACTATTAGATGTCCACCATTCCATACCTTCAGTTTAGTTATAAATATTCAACAATATGTGGGGCCCAGCAAAATATTTCCAGGCAGGGAACTTTTGTTCTGTTACTAGTGCTGAGATTAGATAAAAGTATTACTGCAGATACTAACTTTTCACTCATTCAGTTTTTGGTATAATCATGCATTTATATTATATGAGTTGAAGGTTAGGGGGTATCTTAGATCACGTCTTAATCCCCAACGTCCATGTAATGTCTTTGTGAACCTACAATAGTCATTGTGCATACAACTGCAAAGCTCTTTTTTGAAGTTCAGAATGTAGAGCTAAATCTACAGCTTGATTGTGTTAAATAGGCATGCCAACATAGTAATGTTAAAAAACTCAGCTATTTTCTCTTTCAGACATTGATGAGTGCACCTTCTTTGCTGGCCAAGTATGCAGAAATGGGCGTTGCTTCAATGACATTGGTTCTTTCATCTGTTTATGTAATGAAGGATTTGAACTCACTGTAGATGGAAAGAATTGCATTGGTAAGATGTTTTCAGATATTGGTGAATAATATGAATGTCATATTGTTAAGCAGACATCAATTGTTATTCCACATTTGCTAAAAATTTGATCCTCCCCTAGTCAGTTACATACATTGCAAGCAAGCCCTTCTTGCTGCAGTTTGTAATAAAACTTATATATTGATTTCCATCACTTTCTACTTCCTTAAGCCTCTTCCTACTTTCTGAGTGCTGAGAGGCAGAGTCTTCTATTGTCTCATAATTAGCAGCTATGTTTTGATTTTGTTGGCAAGTTTAGAAAATCATAACTATTTAAAGACTGAACTAGAGCGGTGTTTTTATTAACTTTAAATTACGATACAGCTTGTGTTGCCCCTTTAAATGTGCACAAATTGTACAAAGCACATCTATAAAGGGGGCTGTCATTACTGACTACTCCTTTCGAGTAGATTGGTTGCCATGATGTCGCTTTGAGCTTAATGGTTCTTGAGTCACAGACCCAAAACAAGCATTGAGATTAGCAACTATGAGACTTATGTGACACTGTTTTACAAAATGTTTTGTTTGGTTGACTCAACAGTACTGAAACCAAGCACAGCCAGACAACTAGCAATTTCATAGGGAAACCTGCAATAGTATCCCTCATACTTCTTTCTTGACAGTTGTACAATTGAACAACAACTATCTTATTTATCTCAAACATGATTAACTTTAAGAATTGTAACACGAGCTGCTTTCAGTGGCTTATCTGTTTTTTTTTCTCTTATTTCTTAAAAGATATTAATGAATGCATTGCTTATCCTGGCTCTTGTACTCCTGGTACTTGTCAGAATTTAGAAGGCTCATTCAGATGTATTTGTCCTGTGGGATATTCAGTTGAAGGTGATAACTGCTTAGGTAAGTCCTGCTAATACATTATTACTCAACAGCAGTTTCCTAGATTTAAACTATGTATATCTTGTGTGTCAAATATAAAGTCCTGCTATTACATTATTACTCAACAGCAGTTTCCTAGATTTAAACTATGTATATCTTGTGTGTCAAATATAAAGTCCTGCTATTACATTATTACTCAACAGCAGTTTCCTAGATTTAAACTATGTATATCTTGTGTGTCAAATATAAAGTCCTGCTATTACATTATTACTCAGCAGCAGTTTCCTAGATTTAAACTATGTTTATCTTGTGTGTCAAATATAAAAGTTTTACACCAAATAACATAATCTTCCTACATCTTGTCTGAGGCTGAGGCAACACAATCAACAGTTTGTTTGTTCTCTGAAAATTCAATTTTGCTATTTAGAACAATGAAAGGAACCACAAAAATGTCAAAGTATTGCTCCTTGTTCGCAACAGCAGGAGTGTATGTGATTGTTCCCTACTCTATTTGGTGGACAGGGGCATGTATTATATGGTCCCACAGCTGTGCCAGACTTCTTTAGTTGGTGGTACCTACAAGTAATTTTTTTTTTTTGTCACGGGAAAACTGAAGAGGAGGACTCCTTCTTAATGTCTTAAACAAGCAGGAGTTTTTTGGTTTTCTAGAAGATAAGTGTGAACTATATGGCAATGTTTTGCTACTTGCTGGTGGGCAGACATGAATATGGAAGTGGATCATATACGTTAACACACAATCACCAGTGCATTGTCATTTATTTTGAATAGAATATGCATTACTACACTAGCGGGCAAAACACTGTGACTGCAGCATACCACAAGACACACACCGTGTCTTGTGGTTAACTACATTAACAAAAATGCCAACTTTCTCCTTTTTAGGGTGTGCTTCCAGTCAAAATAAATGGGGCACCTTAATGCATGCTAACGTGCTGTGTATAAATGGGCTCTTAAAATCACACACAGCAATGCACATCCCCTTTTGGAAAATGTGCCATTATGTTGGGTAAGGTCTTCTATAGCACTTTAAAATGGTCAGCACTTAGTGGTTTCCTGCAGAGGAAATACTTTTTTTTTCCGTACAAACCAAGCTGAGATTTACATAAGGGTTGCTAGGTCAGCTTCCTTCTTACTGGCAATATGTAGGTTTGTGAACCAGCTGTTCAGTCTGCTTTTTGGTGGCCTAAAGAAAAACAAGCATCCATCACTGCTGGCTAGTCACTCTGCATGGGCCTTTTCTGGAAGGAATTTTTATTTTTACTGTAATAGTATAAAACCTCTTTAAATATTAGCCTCACACAGCCTAACACATTGGGTCTGTTTTGTAGAAATAAAAAGTGGAGTTGTAGTGCAGGATAGAAAAAGATATCAAATATCTAAATATAATATGTTTCTACATAAAACAACCTATTATCATTTTTTCCTGATCTGTTAAAAAAAAATTCTGATGCACATCCAGAAAGTTGCTGTCATCACTCGCACATCTCTTCTGGGATGACATAATTACATAACCAGGAGTCTGAGATAAGAAGCCTTTTTGCCTTTGACAAAATATTTTAGTATATACAGTATATATTACGGAAAAATTGTTATCCAATACTTACCGTAATGTTCCTTTCCTGGCTCTCCTCATGTCGGCATACTAATGGGTTAACCCCGCCCAGAATCCCAGTAGGACCACCCCTAACTATAGTATAAATACCCACTCACCCACCTCATACGTGTTCAATAGCACGCCGATTGAAGGCATGGGAGGGAAGCTATGCCAACATGAGGAGAGCCAGGAAAGGAAAATGACGGTAAGTATTGGATAACAATTTTCCGTATTCCTGGCTCACCTCATGTCGGCATACTAATGGGACATAGCTAGCAATAACAACCAGGGAGGGACTCATGCCAAAAATAATTTTAATAAGCTGTTGAAGCCGCAGAAGAGAGTATGGACGCCCCAAAGGCTGAATCCGCCACTCTAGACACATCAACATTGTAATGCCTAATGAAAGTATTGGAGGATGACCAACTCGCTGCCTTGCAGACGATCTCTACCGGAACCTTAGCATAGGCTGCCCAAGACGTAGCCAGCGACCTTGTTGAATGAGCCCTGATCTCCAGCGGAGGGGGAAGACCCGAAGCCTTGTAAGCATACTGGACTGTTCTCACCACCCACGTGGATAAGATTCTCGTGGAAGCGGCCGCTCCCTTCTTTGGACCTCCGGGCATCACAAAGAGCCGATCCGTGGCACGAAAACTCTCCGTTCATAGCAAGTAAGTGGAAAGTATGCTGACCACATCTAATCTCCCTAGATACTCCTCCTCAGACGAGAAGACTGCACTTGACAGGGCCGGGAGGACTGATTCCCAATTGAAATGGAACACCGAGGAGACCTTTGGCAAGAATGATGGAACAGGCCGCAACACTATCCGGTCTGTGAAGATCTGGCAATAAGGCTCCTTGCAGGAAAAAGCTTGTAGCTCCGACACTCTCCTAGCGGAGACAATCGCTGTGACGAAGACTGACAGGAGTGTGAGGTGATACAGTGAACACGAAGCCGGAGGAAAGAATGGTGCCACCGCTAGTGCTCTCAGCACCAAAGGCAAGTCCCACTTTGGAAATAGCGGTCTCACTGGAGGCCTCAACTTCATGGCCGCTCGCAAGAATTGTCTCACCACAGTATTAGTAGCCCAACGACACTTAGTCAATGCCGAAAAGGCTGACACCTGAATTTGAATAGTGTTATAACAGTCCCGTGTAGAGAGCGGATTGAAGAAAATCTAGTATATTCCCCACCGTCGGGTTCTCCGGTTGGCAACCCCTCTGTGCTGCCATGTTGAGGAACCTCTCGATGATAAGTTGCTTTAGTTGATGGCTTAGTAGCATTCAACATGGTCTCTACAACTGATCCTGAGAGCTGTAAGTTTTGTAGCCTCTGCCTCTCAATCTGCAATCATGAGTAAGGGGAACCACGGCCTCTACGGCCAACAAGGCAGAACGACAATCGCCAGAACGCCCTCCCTGTCGATCTTATGTAGTGTCCGTAATATCAATGGAGAGGGAGGGAAGACGTAGACACTGTTGAATTGCCAAGGAAGGGACAGCGCATCCTGACCCAAAGCCTCCTGGCACAAGTAACGGGAATAAAATCTCGGAATCTAAAAATTGCTCCTGGTTGGCATGAGATCTATCCAGGGCATCCCCCATTCCTGGAAGAACGGTCGAAGATACTTCGGGTTCAATGACCACTCGTGGGGATCCACAAACTGCCGGCTCAACCTGTCTGCTTCCTGATTCTCTGTTCCCAGCAGATACGAAGCCGTCAAATCCCGGAGATGCCGCTCCGCCCAAGGAAAGAGAACCGAAGCAATGCGCAGTAAAGCTGAGCTCTTTGTCCCTCCTTGTCATACCACATAAGAGACTGCAGTCTTGTTGTCCATGCGCAACTGAAATCGCTGACCCTTGACCAGGGGTTGAAAGGCTCTGAGAGCCTCGAAGGCTGCTTGCAACTCGAACGCATTTGAGTGCCCTCGACTCCGAGCCTACAGCTCTTGAACCTGATCCCCCGAGCAATGGGCTCCCCAACCTGCCAGGCTGTCATCTGACGTAATCGTTATCCAGTCTCCTGGTTGAAGGGGTCTCCCCTTCAATACATTCTGAGCCACCATTGCAGACTGCTCCTGACCACACATGGAAGGAAGATTAATTTGGTTAGGGACCGCCTGTCCCATTGTTGAAGAAACGAGAACTGGATATTGCGCATGTGCCAATGGGCCCAAGGTACTGCAGGAATGGATGACGAAAGGATTCCCATAAACAAGAGACACTGATGTGCCGTGCATGTACTGGATGCCATGAGCAGTCCAGCTAACCGGCTGATTCGAGAGACCTTCTCCTTTGGAAGAAAAAGCCGTGATGCCTCTGAGTCGAATATCATGCCGAGGTACTGCAAAACCCGTGCTGGCACCAGGTGGCTCTTCTGCCAGTTGACCAACCAGCCATATTGCTGGAATGTCTTCAGTACAAGATCTTGGTGCTTCAAAATCTGTTCTTGTGATTGAGCTAGTAGAAGGACTCCCAGCACCCATTGATCTTGAATGGTGTCCGCCCATATCTGCCCGAAGGAAGCCAACCGAGCCCCCACTACAGGTAACGGGGCGGGCCGCGTTTCAGAAGAGCTTTTCTGTCTTCTTGGGGTCTTCTTTTCTGTCTTCTTGCTTCGTCTAGGGGAGCCCCAAAAACATCCTTCCCTGAAAAGGGAATAGCGCAAAGTCCTTGCTTTGAGGCGCCATCTGCCGACCAATGTTTCAGCCACAGAGCTCTATGCCCCGTCACTGAAAATGACACTAAACGTGCTGCCAAATGCACCAGGTCCACCAACGCCTCTGCAACAAAATCTGAAGGCATCTTCAGCTCACTCAAGGACTCAACGATCCTTTCTCTTGACGTTCCTGCGAGCAAAGCCTCTTCAACTCCCGTAATCCATACTCGCATAGCTTTGCTGACCGAGGACAAGGCCACCACGGGCCTGCATGATGATCCAGCAGTAGCGTATATCTTCTTTAGATCCACCTCCAGGCGTCTGTCCATTGTATCTTGGAAGGAAACAGAATCATCCAATGGCAATAGTACATGTCTGGCCAGCCTTTGTAAGGCTGCATCTATCTTAGGAGTTGTATCCCATAACGCGGAATCTGATGGCCGACATGGGTATGACTTAGAAATGCAATAAGGCAATTTACCCCTCTTATCCGGCTTTGTCCACTCTTCCTTAATGATCTCCTTAATCTCAAAAAAGAGCATAAAGGTAGGTACCTCCTTCTTATTATTCAGAAAGAATCTCCTCTGCTTATTAACGGGAACAGGATCCACCTCCCAACCCAGAGCGAGCTTGATCGCGGAAATAAAGGGAGACACTAGAGCAAAGTCAAACGAAAAAGTCTCATCTAGAGCGTCCTCTCTCTCTGCCTCCGAATCATCCGGATCTGACTCTTGGGAAGACAATACCTCTCTAGGTCCTCCCCCATCTCTTCTCCGTTTAGATGAAGAACTACTTTGCGTGTATTCCTTAATGCCCTCTGCCACTACTTCCCGGATATAGGCTCGTATATCTTGCGAATCAGAAGCTGTATTTCCAGCCAACTCCCTGATGCAAGTGGCACACTACATCTTACGTGGTAGTGCCCGGGCACCACATGCCTGACATACTTCAGTGGATGACCCCGCCTGGGGCAAGATTGACCTTGGCCTAGCTTTGCGTTAACTGGGGAGACCCATGCGGAGAGGGCCTCTCAGGAGAAGCCGAAGTCCTGCGGGAATGAGACTTTATGCTTCCTATATTTAGAGCTCTTCCCCCTGAAACGATACACCCATGAGACGCCAGCACTCTTTTACTCATCCAGTAAAATTTCAGCAAGAAAAAACACAACCACAAAAAAATAATAAAAAATGAATACATGCAAAATAGGAGAATGGCCATACCTCTCAGACGAACTTCGTGCTTGTCTAACTGGGCTACCCGGACTCATGGTGGCTCACTAGGGAAATTTTAAACCCTATGAATACTCAGAAAACATCAGCAGGAAAAAAGAAAACAATCATAACACCCCTTAGCAGGGCTTACCTGGTAACTGTCAGCACTCTGACTGTGGCAGCTATCAGGACAATCTCAGCAGTACCGCAATCCTAACCATGTATAATCTCTATACAACTGGAGCAGCCATACCCCTCTAAGGGATCACTGCATTTATAGTGCTGCAAGCTGATAGAATTTAGCGCCTGTTCGTAGTCAGGAAGCGCCTGCGGCGTGGGCTCCACACTGGACCGCACTCAGTCCCGCCCCCTCTACCGCCGACCAATCTGGTCTGGAGCAAGAAGGAGCGGGTACTGCGCTCCACGCTGGAACGCACGCTCGCGGCTCTGCTGCCGTCATAGCTCGGTGAAGGAAGCCATACAGTGGTAAGAAGGGGTAAGAAGCCCCTCCATGAGTTCGACTTACCTCACTCTTAAGCCTGCAACACTTTAGGTCCCCTCCGGCCCCAATGCCCAGCACCAAGCATGTCCCATCCTGTTGGTTTACCACATACCGGGACATCTTCCACCCGGGAGAAGAGGCTGAACCCGTGGTGGGATGAAGGCCATGCATATAAGAAATTCCTCAAAATGAGAACAAAAAGAAAAAAAAAAAACTGTTAGATAGGTGTCCTGAGCGAGGACAAAAAAGAACACGTATGAGGTGGGAGAGGGGGGATCTATACTCTAGTTAGGGGTGGTCCTACTGGGATTCTGGGCAGTGTTAACCCATTAGTATGCCGACATGAAGTGAGCCAGGAAATATATATATATATATCTTTTAGTACCTTTTAGTATAATTCATGACCGCTTACTGCACAGCAGTGCTGGCCTGGAAATAAAAAGCAATCCTAAAAAAACACTATATAAGTATTTGATCAAATTCAACGTTTATTTAAGTCATTAATTAAATAAACTTAATTAAATAAACATTTTTATTTTTTAAACCACACCTTATTTGGCTTAGTAAAATTTTGAAGGTCACATGCAGCATGTTAAAGCTGAAATCCAGGCAGATATAAAAGACACAAATAAAAGTGATATTAAAGTCAAAAGGATTTTAAGCTAATTAAAATGCTAATGAAATCACTTAGAATGGATGCTTTCCTTAGGGTAACGGGAGGACACAAACTAGCATCCTCTCATCACCCTAGGCTCAGTATACCGCCGGAGCCCTTTGGTTCAGCCGAACCGAAGGGCTTCTGAAGCAGGCCGTTCTCCCTGCACAAGTATGCATATTAGGTGATGGAAGTCAGAACTCCTCATCTACATTCTTATTCCAGTACGAACATAGTATTAAAGCCATTGAATTAGCATGACAGCCAGGCAACAAGCATTTTAAGAAAACAAGATCAGCAATGGTAGCCTGCATATTCTTTTAGGACAGGTTAAAGAACTGGTATACATGAGACTGTGTAGTCCATTAAAGATACTTTCAGACACACCAGCTTTGATGCCATTTGCCAGATTTTATTTTAAAATTGCTGTAGCACGTGTTTTTGTGAATGTTTTTGAAGTTCTTGGTATCAGGCAACTGGTAGGTTTACTGCCCCTTTAAAAAGTGGCTTGAGATCTTTGAGCATCCATTGACTGTATCTGTTTTACTTCTGAAATCCTATTCACAAGGCAATAAACATGTCTTTCACCACAGCACATTCTGGATAATGTTCACAGACAAATTAAGCGAAACAATAAAGATATTACATTACACATCAAGACTTACAACACTGCCCCAGAAATTAACATCTTTTACTAAAATAGAAAAAGACATTTTAACATTGTTGTAGATAATTGCTTCTGCACATGTGAGAATGCAGACAGTCTCCTGAATGTCACTGTCTGCAGACCTGTAATGCTTGGCAGGCCCCATGTTAAACTGCCAATAGCTCAGTCTGTGTGCTTGAGAATTGTAAAAAGTGATTTTAGGACTTTTCTTCTTGGAAAAAAGACTGCATTCAATATTAGGAAAGCACGTATTCTGCAGCTCCTACTCTTATTATTTTCAGACAACATAGCAACATAGTAAGTAAAGTGGGGAACTACTAACATTTGAATATCCTTCTGTATTTGTTGATCCAGAAAGGAAAACACAAATACCGTAACAGTTCTCAATTTAAAGTTAAAAAAAGCGGGAAAATACTTTCTACATGATTCTTCGGTTTAATTATTCCAAAGAGAAATCTGAATGTAATTTAACTGAACTGGAGATGCCATTCCAGACCTTTGTGATCAGTTGTCATGTGTGCCCATTCCTTTTGGAATGGGTTGTCAATGTACCTGAATAGCCAAAAAATAGAGATTACCCTTTTCTTTTCTGCGCACCACCACTGGCTTTAACAGGTAACCAGAATGTAGGAGGAAAGTCAGATGTTCCTATCTGCATTCTTGTTCCAGATTAGTGAAATAAAGTTTTGAAGCAAGAAGTCAGTATGACAACCAGGCAACTAGCATGTTCTGAAGGAGAAAAATAACACTGCGCTTCAACAAACTCATAATATATTCATAAAATGTGAGAAAAATTTTATAAATTGTGAAATTATCACAAAGTGATGAAACAATTATGGGTTACTCACAACACATGTGTTGCACAATGCCTGTGCTAATGATACTTCAGAAGAAACTCTTGGTAAAATGGTCTAGGCACTAGAAACCATAATAATTATTGAAAAAAATTTGAATAACAAAAAACATATACTTGTGCTATTACATCTCAAAGAATGTGTACATATAGAAAGTCCTGTATTAAATCTCGCAAGTGATGTACAACTACCACTTGATCTATATATCCATATGTGTAGTCCATGCCTCCTTAATGCAATAAAGTTATTTGAATATGTGAGGATATATCTTCCTACTTTTATAATCAACACCACGTCTGTGAATACATAAACAATTTGTTAATTAGTGCTAGGAGGATACATACGCAGGGTAATCCAATGGATACATGACATGAATTAAGTCCCCAGGATGGGAATTAATTAATGTCATGTATCCATCCCATCCTATTTTGGGTGTACTCACCTATCGAGCACAGCTGCTATTAGAGTGTTATTTGATTCCTAGCACAGTTCATCTCCATTTAACACAACTAGCATTTTCTCACACGATAGCTTTTGCTCCATAGTGGAATACATACAGGAAGTACTATATTCTAGAGTAGCGATGAATGCTTTATTCTACAATTGTCACCCATACTCCTACATATGTCACCTCCTGGGCTTTTAGCCAGGGCTACACTGGTGATTAATGTCAAAGAGATTGATATCTGCCCAAGCTGGGTATCTTTTAATTCTACTGTGTTATTTACTTTGTAGATATCGATGAGTGCACAGAGGAACCCAATATTTGCCTTTTTGGCACCTGTGCGAACACCCCAGGAAGCTTTCAATGCATCTGCCCACCAGGATTTGTTTTATCAGATAATGGGAGAAGATGTTATGGTAGGTGGAAATGATGAAAGTGCTGATGAAATATTAATTATTATTATTAAATCCAAAGCTATGTTAGCTGTAAAATTATATTAAAGCATTAACAGCGAGCAAAGGCTGCCCCGTTGTTGTCATATGTAGAAATTTAAAACATGTACAAAAAAAATGACGTGTAAAAAACAATAAACAGGAAACAGAAGCAAAGAAGAACCTATAGCAAAAAAGTTTAAAAAGGTGATAGCGGTAAAAAGTAAACCAAAAAATATTTTTTTTCTAGTTAAAGTATGTCACCAAATATTGTTTGTTTAGAACTATAAACACAAGCATTGTGCTTATTTACAGATACTCGTCAAAGCTTCTGTTTCACCAAATTTGAGAATGGAAAATGTTCAGTACCCAAAGCATATAACAGCACCAAAGCATCCTGCTGCTGTAGCAAAATGCCTGGAGAGGGCTGGGGTGATCCTTGTGAACTGTGCCCCAAGGAAGGAGAAGGTGAGTGTATACAGGAGATGAATCTGCTTCTTTTATTCCTTCTACTACATGGAAGACAAAGGCAGATATGTTTTGACCTGTGTTTGCTCTTTGAAGGCTTAGGGCTGCAGATGCCAGCTAAAAACATTGATAGTCTGGCCAAGGGCAAGAAGTTTTGAAGTTGGAGGTCAGTCAAGATCAAGGCAAATTTTTACTAGGATACTATGGAAAATTGATTGGGAAAAGAGACGACGAGAAGTCAGACAGCTGCCCTTTCAGCAAGCTTTTCCTGCCTTTTGCTAAGCATTGCCAAACCTCTGTTCTCAGATCTGGTTTGGCCGCAACTGTGTTTTATTTTGTCTTGTCTACCATGTCTGTGATGTTTGCCATTTCTTTCATTTCTACAGCATTAATGCTCTACCGTAGATGGATTAATCATAGCCAGAACACAACTTCATAGCAAAATTCGTTATTATTTTTTTCATTATATGTCTTGTTTCTTTTCAGTGGCTTTCCCAGATTTATGTCCATTTGGGCATGGCACTATCCCAGGTATTGGAGACACAAGGGAAGGTAAATATTTGTTTAAAGTAGGGATAATTTGAACTTGAAAATACAAATACAGCTATATGTATTACAAGTATTAGCCAAAACAGTAGTTTCCTATTCAATTGCAATGGGCAATGAGAGATCTCAGTTTTGTTGTCCTGATCATCAAACCCACCTTATGTCTGTGAGCAAACCCACCTTATGTCTGTGAGCAAACCCACCTTATCTCTGTGAGCAAACCCACCTTATGTCTGTGAGCAAACCCACCTTATGTCTGTGAGAGTTCTCATTCATCTAGGTCATGGAATATCTGTAAAAAAATAAATCAAGACAACTGAACTTTCTGTATTTTTCTTGAAAACATTCCGTTGGTCACCCGACTAGCTATTCTGAATTTGGAAAGTTTGAGAAAATTGAATTGGATGACCAGCCATACGTCTTTAAACAAAAAAAGTCTAGTTGCTTTGATTTCTTTTTTTTTACAGACAAACCCACCTTAGTTTTCTAACTCCATTTAGGTGACTTTTACTTTACAGTGCCCACATAGATAGAGGATATGAAGGGAAGAATGTTTCAGACATATTTAAAGTGTAAGCAAAAACTATTTATGTTTCATTTTGGATACAGCAAGGAATGGCTAGACCCCCTGCCAGGTTTTCATTTAGGCCAAAAGTGTTGGGAAATCCAACTTTTTCTGAATTGTCAGCAAAGCAAGAAGTAAGGGGAAATCATCGAATTGCAACATCTATTCCTATGACACCTTTCTAAGATGGGAATTCTGTTTATAGTCGAGAAATGTCCTCACATTTCTTGTTGCTTCTCTAAGACAGGAAGGGAATGTTAATCGCCTCAGTGGGACAGCAGCTAAAAAATAACCTAATAGGGGTTTTAACCCTTCCCTACTCTGTCCAAATCTAAAGAAAAAAAACAACATACAGTTTAAATTTGTTGAAAATGCTGAAGCTCCGGCAGTTTACTCGCTGCCATTCACTCCTATTCTCATAGGGGCCGGTGTGTGCAGTGAGTGAATAGCCGAGTGGCATTCGGCTCAGCTATTCTGCTCGCTACCTCCGTTGTACCGAGCAGAATAGAAAATCAATGAAAAGAGTTTTAAAAAAAAGATTGAAAAAATATTTTTACATGTAAATAAATAGTACAATTAAAAAATAAATAAAGATTTTTTTTTTAAATAAAAACAATTGGGCGGAAGCTAGCAGTGACAGTGAATAGCCCGTACAGCAGCCCTTCGGTTCGACTGAACTGAAGGGCTCCGGCGGCTGAAGAGAGCCAAAGGATCAGTCGAAGCTATGGCTGGATCATTCAGCTCCTTTATGCATAACCCCATTAGTATATGCAGTAGTAGCAGCTGTCATATTACTGTTAGTAACCTTTTAGGAAATGGTAAAACACGTTACAATTACTGCCATATTATTGGTCTCTGCTATCATTTTAATTGTACTTTGCATTTTTTAGATGTCAATGAATGCTTAGAAAATCCAGGAATATGTGCAAATGGTCATTGTATAAATACAGATGGATCTTTTCGATGTGAGTGTCCGATGGGTTATAATCTGGACTACTCTGGAGTCACCTGTGTGGGTAAGTAGACTGTAGGTAACCTTTAACAGGAAAATCCAACTTTATATTTCCATACCTGACAACTGAATGTACTGTATACCTTTAAAATGAAAACAATTAGTTATATATATATATATATATATATAGATATCTATATAGTATTCAGAAATTGTTGAAGTAATCTCAGCGGAAACCTAATAATAATTACATAATGCATAAGTAGAAATGACATGTTAACCATCTGTCAAAATGATCAGTATATCCAGTTATACTGGCAGCTGAGGTTACATGCAAATCTTCACATGTAAAAATCATGTTTTGGCCCTGCCACCTCCAAACTCCAGTGTGTCCCTAAAAAAAATATATATATAGGTGTATATATATATCTATATATATCTATATAGATATATAGATATAGATATATACACCTTTTATCGGCAGTCTTAACCAGCCTGATGATTTCACCAGTACTTTTTTCTCGATGGCAGTGGGGGTGCAGACTGAGTGGGGCTTAAGACTAGACTAATTGACGTTCAAGTATTGATGTGTGAGTGCCGTTCAGTCCTGAGAGCCACCACAGTAGGCTTGGCTCACAGGAGATAGGTAGAAGGACACCAATTTGGTAAGGATTGGTAAGGCCCACCAATAGATCCTTTAGTGGCCAACTCCCTGTCATTATGTGAAACTGCATGCCCCCATCAATGTACCTCTGTAAAGTTATTTTTTACTCTAATCTAACACAATCTTTGTATGTCTGCATTAAATGCAGCAAAGGCACAATTATTTGTAATTAACGGAGGTATGATTTGTGCAGATGAGGCAGTTTACAGTAGATAGAACAGTAGAACAGTAGAATCATTTCAAACATCTCCATCACTCAGTCTTCCTAGCCAGCAAAGAGAACATAATAAGATTCTGGGGTCTATTCACTAAGCAGCCGAGTGAATAACCGACCTGAAGTGAAGTGAGCCGAACGCTGTTCGGCTATTCACTTCAGGATTTGTACCGCTGATTTCAGCCGCATGTCGGCTGAAATCAGCCATACATCGGGTGGCTTTGTGTGGCTTCAGGTCGGCCAAACATGCTCAGCATGTTCGGCCGACGCGAAGTGCAGAAGGAGTTCGATTTAGCCGATCCTCCAGCAGGCTACTTGCTGCTGTTTGGCCTAGTCTCATAGATGCCGAACAGCAGTGAGTAAATAGCCGAAAGCCGCTCGGCTATTCTGCCCGGTACCTCTGTGGTGCTGAGCAGAATAGAAAAATAGCTAAAAAAGTAGAAAAAAAATAGAAAACGAATGTGTGGAGCTAGCAGTGACAGCTAGCTCTGCCCAACTGTTTTCTATTGGCCAGGCGGTTCTACTGCCGTAAAAAATAAAAAAATAAAAAAACCCCATAGGAATGCATAGCTAGATTCCTATTGGCTATTTCACTTTGCAATAGCCAATAGGAATCTAGCTATGCATTCCTATGGTGGTTTAATTTGTATTTATTTTTATATTCTGACGGCAGCCAACGGCTCCGATGCCAGAAGAAAAAAAAAACCAGCAGGGAAAGGTTTACTCTGTTTGATCGAGCAGAGTGAACCTTTCTGGGAGAAAGTGTTTCTCTCCCGGGCGGCCGGGAGCCGTATTAGACTCCAAGAGCATCCGGGAGAGTAATAACAGATGGCGTCCCTGGTTACCAGGTAACCAGGAACGCCATCTGTCATTACACTCTGAGAACACAGAGAGGTCGCTGTGATATCATATTTGCCCGGCCGGGTTCTCAGTGTGTAATGACAGCGTCCCTGGTAACCAGGAACGCTGATCTATCTGCAAGTGGCCGGAGCCAGTCGTAAGATGACGGCTGGCTCCGCCCAGCTGTCAGAAGCAGGCTGTTGGCCGGCTAGTGGCCGGCCGCTGGGCCTGCTTCGGCTTTCACCTTGGCTCAGTCGACCCGAGGCACATGCCTTCGACTCGACTCGAGTGAATAGCCCGAACAGCAGCCCTTCGGTTCTACTGAACCGAAGGGGTCCTGGGGCCAAAGCTAGCCGATGGATCAGCCGAAGCTACGGCTAGATCCTTCGGCAGCTTAGTGAATGAATAGACCCCTCTGTTTCCAAGATTTGGATTAAAACAGAGGACTTGTAAATATATGTGAAGACACAACAGCACATCAAGGTGGCTTTTAAGGGCTTATGTATTTTTGTTCTTGCTTTTCTGCCCATACAAATGATCAGGATAGCAAAAGAAGCTGAAGCAGCTTAGTTCTGAATCTGAGTTGGCCAAGTTTCTCTTTTGGCCAGTAAAATTGTTTCCATAACCACTGACCTTCTTTTGTAATGGTTCAGAAAATTCCATTCACGCTGTTTGGCATTTTTTGTTTTGTTAACAAGTATACCTTATATTTCAGATACTGATGAATGCTCTATTGGTAACCCATGTGGTAATGGAACATGCACTAATGTCATTGGTACTTTTGAATGCTCCTGTGATGAAGGCTTTGAGCCTGGGCCAATGATGAATTGTGAAGGTAAGTCATTGCTTTCCCAATGATATATTATATATTTTGTGTAACAATCTAATGTACAGACTCATACCTATACATTTCTGTAATATAAGATTTATAAATGCAGGGCACCTATTTAATGCTCCAAATTACGTTATTATTATATACAAATGTAAAACAGCGCAGCTAGTGTATGGAGCTAAATTACACAAACACATTTTGCACAATATATTTTGGGACACACAAAACTGTTGTCAATGTTGTTTTAAAAAAGATAATTTTATACAAAACATTAAAATGTCATTGAAAGTATACATTTAATCCCTTGTTCCTCCATCACCTCACCCCCATTATATATTTTAGGGATGCACCGATACCAGTTCAGATACCAGTGCCGATACTTGGCATTTTCATGAGAACTACCAGGGTTGCAGGGGTTGCAGCTGGGACCTGGCTCTGGTGCTCCACCACTGTCCTGAAATCATTAGTCTGTACTGTTTTTAAAAAACTGTCACATGACAATAAACAAAAATGTATCAGAACTCGTACTTGTAAGTACTTGGGCAAGTATCAGTACTTGTACTTGCAAAAATTATATTGGTGCATCCCTTTATATATGTTTATAAAAACACAATCATACACTAAAACAGAGATGTACAAATCCCAGGAGCTCCGTGTGCTCCTTACAAATAACAGCTGCCTCCTAACTTTAAAATTTTTCTCTAGTCTAGTCTTGGAGCTCGAAAAGTATCTGTACTTGTACTTGTACCGAGTATGGTACTTGGTATCAGTGCATACCTAATATATTTAGTGATATCATATTGTAACATTTCACATGTCTCTCAATATTAGTCGGGGAGGCAGAAAAGAGTTCAATGGGTTCACTTCACTTCCCAAGGAAGGAGGTGGAAAACTATGTCATATAGATATAAACCATTAATGTTCAGTATATATCAACATTGTATGTTCATCATTATACAGTATACACAATAAGCTCCTAACCTAAATGAATGTTATCATCAGATTTCCTAATCAATAGCCTATATATGCAATCATACTCCCTGTTTTAAAATAATCTCATATCATTAGAAGCCAACGCATTTCAAGGGTTCGAAGGATCCCCCTTATAAGAGCTAAAACTAACAAATAAAATATTGTCCTCAGTATAAAGTATTAACTGGTGTGTGTGTGGTATGAAAAACTGAACGTAATCATTGTACTATAAAACAACTGAACGTTTATGATTGTACTATAAAACCAAGCAACAACATATCAAGTTATACCCCACAATAATACAAACTCAAGTAAAGATTGGAACTATGGGAAGATGACATTCAAAATATGAATAATATTCATTTTATAATATATATTTGGGATAATATTTCCATATTTCATGTCTTTACTTGACATCCTAATTTTGTGTGGTATATCTATATATGTTATTAATATTATATATTATATGTTAGTATTGCTAATAAATAAAGTAACTTTGTTTTTCCATCAGATATCAATGAATGTGCCCTAAATCCACTGATATGTGCATTCAGATGCATTAACACTTATGGTTCCTATGAATGTACATGCCCTGTGGGCTACACTCTTAGAGAGGATCAGAAGATGTGTAAAGGTAAGAAATGAAGGGGAAAGAGGAAAGTCCTATTTCTGTTTTATATGCTGAAAATATACTGTTTAAATTTGAATGCTAGAATATTTTTTCATCTTGTTAATACCATCTATTTACAATGTAACAGACCTAGATGAGTGCTTAGAGGGTTTCCATGACTGTGAATCCAGAGGAATGCTTTGTAAAAACCTGATCGGGACATTTATGTGTATTTGCCCTCCTGGAATGATGAGGCGACCAGACGGAGAAGGATGCATTGGTGAGATTGCGGATTCAAATGATTTGTTTTAAAAGTTTGCTTCATGCTTTGGAATGAGTGCTCTTGTCTGTATTATAATAATGTAAAGGGCTATAGTTATTTATGTTGTCAAAAGTGATCTTAGTAAGTTTTGTCTGTCCTGACGGGCTTTCGGTTTCATTCTTTCTGGGCTTCAGTCTGGCATCATTGACAGGTTAATTTGAACTGTGGTTGACCTCCTTGTGACCCACATTAAACTTGCTTTAAGCGGGTTTTGCAATCCCATAGACTTGTATAGAAATCCAAAACCTGCTTGAAGTGAACATCTATGTCAGCTGTTATTACAATTTAACCCTCCCCTGCAAAATAATGGGTAGTTCCATTTATCATAAAAGCAATTAATAGAGTTGAAAGTGGATATGCCTACTGCGCACCAGGACAAAAACCCAGTAGTTAGTATTCAAAGCAACACTGTCATGAGAGATTATTGGAGGCTGTCATTACTGAATTCTCCTGTGAGAATGGCGGTTCCCTAGCTCTCATTCTAATACTTTGACTTCAATGCTATCTGAGTCACTGGGGGGAATTTATCAAGACTGGAGCAGACAAAAATTGGAGCAGCTGTGCATGGCAACCAATCAGCTTCCCTTTTCAGTTTGCTCAGTTAAGAGTTAAAAATGAATAAGAGAAGCTGATTGGTTGCCATGCACAGCTGCTACAGTTTTTGTCTGCTCCAGTTTTGATCAATTTCCCTCACTGATTCAGAACAAGTATAACGATTAGTAGTTCTAAAACTCGTTTACAGCAGGTTTGTTGCAGGGCTGTGGCTTAAATATAGTGAACTTAAGAACAGTAAGGCATGTAGCATTTTCAGATAGAGGCCTACAATGGCAGATCCCAGACTTTTTTTTATGGCAGACTCACTTTAAATAAGGCATAACAGAATTGTGATAAAATATTTACCTGTTAGACTTCCTCACAAGCTACAATTTATTTTAAATATTACATCTGGTTTCCTAAGGTGTTTAAGGCACCCTAGGTTAACCCTTATACTGGGAGCAAATACAGTGTGTATACAGCAGCTCTGTCCTATTAATAATCATTTTTTTTAAAGTCACCCATGGGAAATCTTGACTTTCTGCTTTCCTTTGCTGTTCATAACAATCCATTAGGGATGCTGTTTTCTAAAAGGTACAACTTTGTTGGGCTAATTCATTTAAAAAACATTCAAAAAAAATCTATTAAGCTCCTAGTTCTGTTTGAGTTGATAATGCTGACCTGTTGCACAGAAATCCCAGGCAGTGTTATCAACACTGCTTGAGTTCCCCTTTCTGGAAAAATATACCTGGAATTTCAGTGCTTCAGAAGCACTGGGGTTGATTTACTAAAAGCAAAAAGGCTGTTCACTTTGCAGGGGAAGTTTCCCTTAGCTTAGTGAATGTTGTGAAAATTCACTTTGCAAAGAATATCTGCTATCCTGCAGAGTTTTACCTCATTCACTATGCTAATTGGAAACTTTTGCGGAGTGAAAATTCCCTTGCAAAGTAAACAGTCTATTTACCTTTACCAAATCAACCCCACGATATTGTCAGCTCATACAGGAAATTAGGTGCACATTCAGGTATTTACAAGTATTTTTATGTAATTGCAGTGTTTTTAAGGGATAACATAGATGTACTGAATATGTGTGTTTTGTTTTATTTGGCCTAGACATACAATTTGAAATATAGAAGCTGTTCACATAGTGAATGTTCATTTTTACTAGCCTAGTAAAAATGTGAATCTGTGTTCACTGCAACCATCCAATCACGTGCAAAAAATAATCTGTTTTTAATTATCCTTGCACTGAATTGGTCATTCTTAATAGATTCATGTTATTTAATAAGCTAAGTGATTCGTTACTTTGCTAAGTAAACACTTTCTACATATTTAGTAAATAAACTCCTGCCTGTTTAATAGTCTCATGAAGCTAGTCATGCACTCCTTGCAGGAACCAATGAAGAACATAGACACAAAAATTAAGACAAGTTATTCTCTCTTCTATATTCAAAATCTGTTTGTTTTGTTCAAGTCAATATTTTTCTTTTGGCCTTCGTAGCATAGGCATCATCTGCCCCCTCAGTGGTTTAGAGCCCTAACCAAATGTATGCAAGTTTTTGTGGTTTTTGTGGTGACACAGTCACTTTTATCCGTCTTTTCCATACAGATGAAAACGAATGTCGCAGCAAGCCCGGAATCTGTGAGAATGGCCGTTGTGTCAATACTATTGGAAGCTACCACTGTGACTGTAATGAAGGGTTTCAGTCATCTGTCACTGGAACTGAATGTCTTGGTGAGTAATTATAAAACAAATGATAGTAGTGTATGCACAGGGATGCAGGATTATGACTTATATGAATGTTATGCTCCCTGTGTCCTATTGGGTAGATTTTACTTTCTGTCCATAGGATGAGAGAAGAAATTTCTCTCAAGTGAGGATAATTCTCCTTTTTGCCAGAACAGGTGTTCCCATTGGAAGATTTACCCCATGTTCTGTTCTGGTGACAACTGTACAGTTTGGGCTTTCCGTTCATTTTCTGTTTCAGTGACAATGGTCAACAGGACAGATACAGAGGGGGAATGTCCCCAGCGGAGACAGAGACAGCAATAAAAACCTGGCAGGAGTCCCAATCCATATCTACTATAGCTAATTAAAAACTAAATGAAAAATGGGACCGCAAACTGTAGTAATTAAATGTTTATTGATTCAAGAGATCTTTGAGAGTTAGTTATAACAATGTCAAATTGTGGGCATTTTATTTTTTTGCTTCAAAGGACAAGTTTAGTTTAATGTAAAAGTAGGTATATCAAACCTAATGTAATTTATGAGGCTATACCTTTAATTTATGAGGTCACAACTGTATTTAGGAAAAAATAAAATAGCAATGCGCTTCAAACTCAAAAATTATATTCCTAAAATGTGAAAAAAATTGTATAAAATGTGAAATTGTCACAAAGTGATACACAATTTTGTGTCATACACAAAACCTGTGTTGCACAATGCCTGTGCTGATGATAGTAAGAAAAACTCTAGGTCTAATGGTCTCGACACTATAAACCATAATAAACATGGGAGGAAAAAAAACCGTGCTAGTACATCGCAGAAAATGTGTACATATAGAAAACTCTGTGTTAAATCTCACTTGTCTTACATCTCAGTGATGTACAAATACAACATTAATGTACAAGTGATGTACAACTACAACATTAATCTACATAACCACATGTGAAGTCCATTACTTCTGGATACAATAAAGTCCTTGAAATATGTGAGGATATATCGTCCTGCTTTTATAATCAACACCACGTCCGTGAATGCAAAAACAATTAGTGAATCAGTGCTCTCCAGTCTCCACCGTGCTCAAAGATAAGATCTGGCCACACTCACCGACTCCTATTGCTCACCATATTTCAGATGAACAATTAGCGCTTTGTTGATATATATAGAACCAAATCCTCTCCTTTGTTTTTAAGTTAAATCTTAAAAAATGCATTCAAGTACCTTAACTACGGTATTAACAAAAATGTATCTTATTTGTGTATCACTCGGCTTTAGAGCCTCAAATCATCTCTGAATTGGTGCTGACACTGTCCTTCCTTCTGGAGGGTGGCTACTTTTGTTCTCCGTGGTCCCTGTGTGTGTTGTACAGTAGCCACCGCCCCAAGCCCGCTCTTGTGATAGCTAATTATTATTGAAGTAATAGTCTAACTAAACATGAGATTGTAGTCCATCATAGGAACGAGCTTGGAGCAGTGACTACATTACGACACACATAGGGACCATGGGGAACAAAAAGGTAGTCATCCTCCAGAAGGAAGGACAGTGTCAGCACCAATTCAGAGATGATTTGAGGATCTATAGCCGAGTGACACACAAATAAGATACATTTTTGTTAATAGTTAGGGTACTTGAATGCATTTTTAAGATTTAACTCCTGATTTTAGTGTAATGATTTACCAGGTATGTAATGGATGCAGCCTGTAGCTCATGTAGTTAAAGAAAAGCTAGTGTCTGAACTTGCCACGGAAGCTCTAACACAGGGATAGGCAACCTTGGGATCTGTTGTGATGAAACTACAAATCTCTGGCATTACAAGACTCTGACAGGCATAGGCATGTGTCCACATAGTGTGTCACTGACTGTAACACTTAGCTCTAAGCGTTTAGGTCAAATGCCCAGCTAGTGTATGGGCACTTTAACTTATCCAGAAAGTAAAAAATACAAACAGAAAGACATCTATTCTGTTTAGGTCTTGTTTGTCCATAACCCCTTCCCCTTGTTTTACAAGAGGCACAATTGTTATATTTTCCAGGATTCATGGGGGGAATAAGACTCCAAAAGGGATGGCTGTGATTTTTTTTAATTGCTGTTTGAAAACGAGGTTTGGCATGAAGTCACTTAAAGTTGCATAATTATATTTTTAGAACGACATAAGAGTGATGCTGTGGAACAGTAATTAAGGCTTAAATGAAAGGTCATATGTAACAAACAAAGCAAAGAGCATTTCACTGCATAAAATGGAATCTTTCTTTTTAATAATGTGGGATTTATAACTTTGACCTATTCAAGAGCATGCACTTCTTTTTCTATGGCCATAATACTAACTCTGAATACAACAAATGTGTATTGTCTCTGCATGAACGTTGATGTAAATGATGTATCTAGGTAACTTTTACTACACAAATAATAAACAGGATGGATAAGTGAACATTGCTTAATATAGACATGTCTTTCATATTTAGAGGGATATCATTTTTCCTCTCTTAAGCTTCTTATCTTCCTGAACTCCATCAGTATTATCAGCCTAATGATACATGGAAACTTGAGCTCAATTGGAACTGAGCAGCGGATTATGAAAAGTGATGTAAAACATAATCCAAGGGAGGACCATTCCTTGCTTTTTTTACATCCCTAACTGCCCACAGATGCAAATCAAAGCATTACTAAAGAATACTGACACTTCATTGTGAAAGTGCATGGTAATATTCCTATATAGTATATTAAGCATACTACAGCATGCAGAAATTAGAGCCTGCAAATATCACAGCCATATTTGCTGTTGCCCCGTTAATGCCAAGTGCTAAAAAATCCTGTTTGCTGCATTGTTGATGAGCTTTCATCAAATTGCGCATTATATAGAGTTCGGTTGTAATGCATGTAAACACATGTAAAATACCACAGGCCAGGGACGCACCACACAGGTTTGAACCAGGCCTTATTGCCAGAAAACATATGGAATGGCTTATACCTAACTTAGAATGAAATTCAGAGTTTGTTACCTAAAATTTTACCTTTGCAATTATACAAAAAAAAAACTAAAAGAAGCTTTTAATGCATTGTTTCACATAATAGATTTGTCTTGGACAGAGCATTGGCAGCATTTGCACAATTGCTAGGTGTGATGAGCAGTCTTAGAGCAGCAAACGTACAGCTCTGACATTTGTCAGAGGAGTTCATCTGTATAGAATTACTTGTGGTCAGGACCGGATTCCCCACAAGTCCACCGATGTCCGGCCTCCGGACGGCAGCGGTGTCCTTGTGGGGAAGATCCGGCCGTCGGGCGGTAAGTTGCCCTCTCTACATTCAGTCCTGCTTTGCACAAGCAGGACTAAATGTAGAGTGAGGCAGCCAATTGTTTGTTTACATGTAAACAGTGTGCAACCTCCCCCCTGCACTTACCTCTCTCCTCTGGCTCCGCCGCCGAGTCCGTCTCCTCACTGCAGTGATCGGCAAGTAACCCTGCCGCTCCGTGTAGACAGTGAGAGGGGAGTCACAGGAGTTCCAGCACAGTGCTGTGCTATGAAATAAATAAAAATTTAAAAAATTAAAAGAAATAAATAAAAAAAGTTTAAAAAAATAAAGAAACAGTAAAAAAATTTTGAAACTAACCCCGCCACCTTGCCATCTGGTTGCCATTCTCCATTAATGGGAAGGGGGGTTTGGCGCGGCGCAGGGGGGGGCCTATCGCAGAACCTAGCCTTGGGGCGGCAGGGAGAGTAAATCCGGCCCTGCTTGTGGTACAGTGTGAATGCAAGTCAGTCCTGATTTGACAGTTTGTTCCAACAAGACATTGCTGATTGCTTGATATGATATGGGTGTTTTCCTTTTAAGATGACATTTTGTGGTAAGAATTATGCTAGGTGAGAAAATGTGGTGGAAATATTGAACTAACATTTACACTGTGTAATCACTTCATATCTGTATGCCACAGATACACGCCAGGGATTCTGTTTCTCTGAAGTTCTGCAAACAATGTGTCAGATGTCATCCAGCAGTCGAAACCATGTCACTAAATCTGAATGTTGCTGCAATGGAGGCAGGGGCTGGGGCAACCAGTGTGAGATTTGCCCACTGCCAGGTACAGTTCAGTATAGGAAGCTCTGTCCACATGGACCAGGATACACCACTGATGGCAGGGGTAGGTACACATTTGTATGTTTATTTAAGGAAATGTTCTTGCTAGATGTGAAAACAGCTGTTTTATAGGTTGAACATAGTTTGACGAGACCACAACAGGAGTCAAAATTGACAATCCACTTATTATGTTGTTGACTGCTAATCCCTCCACTTTACTAAACAAAAAGACAGATCTGGAGATAATGAGCAGAGGGGCTGCATGACTGGGGAGAGGGATAGTCCCTAGAGAAGTGGTTAAAAAGAGTGAAAACCAGTAGATTGGAGGTTGAGGGTCAGGTGTCGGGAAGGAGCCTCATGGAAAGGAATTGCAAGGGCTGATGGGAGTCCTTTCTGGAAGGTGGATAGAGGAAACAGGTTGTCCCTTTTACCCACCCCTAATTTTTACCATTGATGGTGGCTGGAATAGTTATTTTGTCATGGCAGCTTAGGGGTTTTGGGGGTCTTCAAAATGTGAGTTGGTCACAAAATATGGGGGGCAATGACTGTTATGGTACTTCCTCCTGTTGGTGCTTGTATTTGTTGAGAGGCTAAGCCCCATGGAAAGTTGGGAAGCAGTAACTTATTTTGGCTGTTGGGCACCAAAAGACCCCTTCTTGGATCCAACAGATGTTCAGATTATCTATTTATATGTTATTTTGGTTATTATGTTTGGCAACTGTTAATTCTTATATAGTTAAATAAAGGGCTGCTGTGGCCATTTAAATCCATGTCACACAGCCCATCTGTTCATTGGTGACTTAACAGAGGGGATTTAATTGATGAATCCATCAGTTAAGCCAGAGCAAATGGCTCTGTGAATTGTTCATAAATAGTAGAAATATATCACCAGCACACCAGACCAATTATTCAAGCAAAAAAAGGTCAATTTATTGACGTGCGCTGTCCCCTCAATTGCAAGCGCTTTTGGGGGCCACACAGGGTCCCCTTCCTCAGGCTCAGAGATGAAGGGGACCCTGTGTGGCCCCGAAAGCGCTTGCGATTGGGAGACAGCACACCTCAATACATTTTTTTGCTTGAATTGGTCTGGTGTGCTGGTGACATATTTCTACTATCAGTTTGTTAGCGGTGCCATCCGCAGTAATTCCAAGCACCCATCTTTTACCTATGCGGGAATTCCAGTAAGGAGTGCAGCAAGAATCTTTTTTTATTGTTTATAAATAGACTCCTTTGTATATTTCTGTTAAAAAAGACAAGGTCCAGTGCTACTACAAACTAACAGTTAGGTGAATTAATAAAGCATATTATAATCTAACAGTCAGTCTGGCTGAAATGCTCCCCAGAGTTAGCACCTAAATGTAGTGTGATGTATGGTGCAATACATGTCAACCTGTTGAATCCTGTTGTTTTTTTTTACACAGACATAGATGAATGTAAAGTGATGCCAAACCTCTGTCAGAATGGGCAATGTGTCAACAATATTGGCTCCTATAAATGCTTTTGCAATCATGGCTACACAACTGACATTGGGGGCACATCATGTGTTGGTAAGACCTTCCCAAAATACCATTCTGAGTTATTGGCTTCTAATGTTTTAATTTGTTATGTATTAAGATATTAACAATTGCTACTTCCTTTAAAGCTGAACTGGCACCAAGATTTTAATATTTGTAGCCATGTTATTTGCTTCTTGCCTTGCTGTAGTGTCATACCTCCACCCCTGTGTACGCTTGCCCATTCACAAAACCCAGCCTGTAGCAACATTTTTGGTATTGTTTTTATGCTGATAAAGGAGAGGAAAATATATTTGCTGCTATTTAGAGGGAAGTAGCTTATAACACGTTTAAGACTGAAGGTGCAATATATTCTGACTGAGGCCCTACCGAGTCCCAGTGTCGCTTAAATTCAGCTTGCATGGGAGCTTCCTAACATGTTTAGAGAGCATTGCTGGTCAGAAGCCTCAGCATGCCAACAGTGTCTTTATCAAGGCTTTCATATTTTTAGGTTACATCATGCTAGGAAAAATTATGTGATCAAACAAAACATGATGCTATGGCACTCAATATGGAAATTACAAATGCACAAAAACGTATTAAACAACAACCAAGTACCTGTCCATGACACGTTTTATAGAAGTCACTGCCAAACAAATCCCCCAAATCCAGGACAACATCTGAAAATAAAAAGACAATTGCTGAAACTATGCCATAAGACTATATTGGTCATATTCGTGGCAAAAAAAACAAGAGAACATTTATAGGTTAACAGTAATAATTGTAAAATCAATCTGAAATTAGCCAAATAGGTGATTTATTGTTATTTATTTTCTGCCTTGCAGACCTTGATGAGTGTTCCCAGTCCCCCAAGCCATGTAATTTTATTTGTAAGAACACAGAAGGCAGCTTCCAGTGTTCGTGTCTTCGAGGATACATTCTACAAGAAGATGGGAAGACCTGCAAAGGTAAGTCTAAAAATGTATGATTTCCAGAGAAAATTCCCTTTTCCTATTTGAAAATCCAGAATTAAAGGGCTATGCTTAGGTTCAGTATAATGTGCATTTTACTTGTTTGCTAGAGTCTGAACACCCATGGTACAACAGTGTACAAAGAAGGAAGTGGTAGAGATAAGACCAACTAGTAGGTATTATTTGTAAAAAAAAATAATAATAATAATAGGCCTAATAGATTTAGAGGCCTAATCTCAGACCCACTCTGAAATAAACCAATTGTGTGACTAAATGACAAGCCAAGGTTCCTTCAAAGTGCTGAACATCTTGGTCTAACAAATTAGGCTATGTGTTTGTGCATGAAATGGCTTCCTAAACCTCAGCCCAAGTCGGGTTGAACTTATACCTTTATAAACAAGTCAGCTAAAGCAATTTCCATATTGGTGTCCTGACAGGTTCCTTTTATTCCACTATATCCATATTTCTAACTTTCAAAGCACACTTCTCTTGCCAGTATTACTTGTATGTGATGGCTGCATAATTAACAAAAATTATCCCAATGATTGAAAGGTACCAGGTTCTATAAAGACACAACTGTATTATAATAAATACAGTAGTCATTTTATAGACAATGTTCTTAGGTTAAAGTAAATCTGTCATTTTGATATAATCAAGACTATGTAACCCCAAGAAAAGGTAAGTGCTGGAACTCAGGATCCCACCTCCTATGCCTCCCTACTGACCTTTAAACCTTATGGTTGGCCTTCAGGTACAATATTAAGGTACGAGAAGTGACAGGGGGCAGGGGATATACTGGTGCTTAGATTTCTGAATACATTTGCATTTTAGAGCACTTGTGTTTTGAGGTTCTGTTAGCACTCAGGAAACATCTGAAAGGGTGACAAGTAGTCTCATGTGATACATAAGGCTGAATGATTTTTTACAAATTGTCTCTACAAGCAGGAAATTAGTCAGTCATAACTGTGTAAGAGACATGGTCACTAGTTAAGCAATGCTTCCTTTGGCAAAGTACCTGGCTTTTAATGCATGAATAAGAAAGTTACTCATATAGAAACTAGATTCCATAAACATTTCAATGTCTAGGCCAGTGGCCTCAAACAGGAAATAAAAAGGAAATATTTTGAATGTTCAGACATGCAATTGTAAAACATCTGCAGAAGTTTTAGACAAAAACATGCAAGCACCTGCTTTGTGGCTGGGTGAAAGAAGGTATGTGTACAAAAACTGCTTAACTCGGATTTTGTGTTTATTCTAGATCTTGATGAATGTCAAACCAAACAACACAACTGCCAGTTTCTCTGTGTCAACATTGTTGGGAGTTTCAACTGTAAATGTCCCTCAGGCTTTACCCAGCATCACACCGCATGCCTTGGTGAGCACAGGGTGACACCATCAAATAAAAGATCTTACATCCATGGGAGAAAACCAAAGTGTTATATGTCTGATGTTAATTAAAATGAAAACTTAATTTTGTATTGCCATTCTGCAGTACTAAATCTACCGGTGTTCAGCTGGCCAAAGGAGAACACTTTAAATACCTTCAGGCAAAGAAGCCCTCCAAAAATATGGTTTGAGGAGCCTTTTAGTTTTGTATGCTGAGCCAGTATTTAAGTTATTGCCATATCTCCCATCTCTAGCTCTTAGTTAACTAGAGGATGCACCCTAACTGGTAATAGCTGTCATCACTATGTAAATAACAGGTATTTTTATATTTCCTAATATTTAATAAACAGGTAAAAATTAGTTCAGAAGCATTTAAATTCAATTTTTACCCATAAGAATTCTTAAATGATTACAATTAAAATTCAATTGGTTATTCTTAACACCAAGGTTGAACAACAAAGATTATCAAACAAGTCCTCCTCTCACAACTGTTTGGTTTATTTTGACCTTTCTGGATCCACAAAGGTCCTTAAAGGAGAATTATGGGGTAAGTGTTTTCCCCCATAGTTCTCCTAAGGGTCACGGGAGGACACAGACTAGCGTCCTCCCATGACCCAAAGCTCAGTATATATAGCGTTATACTGAGACCTCTGCAGCCGGGACGGATCCCAACATTACTGTTGATCCACCCAGCTGTGTGATTGACAGCTGGCTCTGCCTATCTAGAGGCAGAGCCAACTGTACCCTCCCCCGTCCATTCCGCCAGTCAGCGCTGGAGGATCGGACAGGGGAGGGGGGGATCCCTGCAGGGAGCCATGAGTGACAGTTACCGCTCTCTGCAGGGAGATGATCGAGAAGTGAGCAAGGGACGGTATGTGTTCGCTCACTTACTTATCTATAGAGCCAACCTGTGACAGTTTCATTGTCATACGTGATTTTCACTCACCTCATAGTTCTCCTTTAAGCTGCCCTGTATGCTTAACTGTATTCTCACTATTCCAAAAATAAGTGATAGTTCTATTCATTTGTATGACCCATCAGTGGACTGAATAAATATTTTGGGATTTTGCAGTTTAACTTCTACAGTCCATATGATAAATTATTTACAAAAAAAACCTGCCACTCTAACTAAATGTTCATTATTATGTGTTTTTATTTTTTTAAACCATTTTAAATCTAAAACATTTCCTATATGAGGATATGTTTTATATATTGCATTTGTTTTGCAGATAATAATGAATGTACACAGCCCAGCATTTGTGGTTCTAAAGGAGAATGCCAAAATTCACCTGGCAGCTTTACATGTCAGTGTCAAAGAGGATTTTCCTTGGATTCAACTGGCGCAAACTGCGATGGTATGTTCCCCATACCCTCCACCCTTGTTTTTGCTCTGCCCTAGCTCTTCTTGCTTAGCCCTATCTTGCTTTTTTATTAATAAGGGTACTGGTAAATAAACTAATGTGAAACTGGTATAGTATATCAAACATAGATGTGAGCAAGATTCAGCCTTGAGACAAACGAGTAACATTATCTTCTTACTTGTCCCTGATTTGCACAGATGTTGATGAGTGTGATGGAAATCACAGATGCCAACATGGATGCCAAAATATAGTTGGTAGCTATCGATGTAGCTGCCCTCAGGGTTATGTTCAACACTACCAATGGAACCAGTGTGTTGGTAAGAATTTAGCATATATGAATGTGTAACTGTTGTCTTTGCATACGGATTATGAAGTGCTTAGTTAACCAGTGAATAGTGATATGATTTTATTTGTATTATTAGAAAGGGGTGTAGTAAAAAATATATACCATATCTAGTACAAATTTACTCATAAAATTATATATTCAATTACTGCTAAATAGCATATACCATATTAAGTGGCATATGCATATCTCATAATACAGAGATGAAGATAATTTAGATTTAATAATAATTTAGAATGTCTATATCAGATCATTTATGTGACATAAATGAAATATAGTCTTATACAAGGGATCACTTGAGAATTTGAAGCATCAGAGCCTGCAATTTTCAAAGTATTATTTGTTTCTGAAATCAAATGATGAAATTATAGTGAGGCTACGGGCTGGCATCCACATGCGTCCATTTACATCCAGGTCTGAAAAACAAAGTTCCGTTGGTGGTCCTAATTGTGATGAATCTGGGTATTCAGATGGAAAACGGATCCATGCCTACTTACATCTGACTCCCCATAGACCTAACATGGGTCCGATAAGTTCAGCTTTATCCTTCATCATAGGATGAGGAAAAAACTGTACGAACATGGATATGGAATGGATGTCACAATGGTGACACCCATTCCATACTTCTCCAATCACAGATCTTTTGCTAATTGGAACTGACAGTGCCTGTGTGAAAGAGGTCTTAATTTATAAAATAACAGTCATGTCTGCATGGTTTCAGTGCCCTACAACACTGTGATATTACATTATATGACACTTGCACTTGAAAGCAGTCCTGTCAGAGTGACCCTGTAAAATGACTCCTACCATTTTATTCCAGCGCTGCATGTAAACCTTATTGGCATTTGACACTTTGGAATCCTGTGTTCTGGCATTATACAGTCCCGCCATCACTGCCTTTTTATTAAGTAAATGTGTGCTTATGTAATATTTACCCATTTGCAGTACTGGCCAGCTTTGCTTTTTAATCACCTTATGGCCAATTTGACCTGGGTCATTTGTGATCAATACCAGACCCAGTATTCCATGTTCAGTTTCAATGCAAACCACACTGTACCAAGAAGCTTTAAAAATGAAAATTCTCATAAATGTCTTCCCCATATTTTTTTCTCAAAGATGAAAATGAGTGCACCACACAGAACACATGTGGTTCTGCTTCATGTTACAACACACTTGGCAGCTACAAATGTGCTTGTCCACCTGGATTTGCTTTTGACCAGTTTTCAGCATCCTGTCAGGATGTGAATGAATGTACATCAAAGAATCCTTGTAATTATGGCTGCTCCAACACTGATGGCGGCTACCTCTGCGGATGCCCCCCTGGATACTACCGAGCCGGACAAGGGTAAGGGCTTATGCAATGTCTTATAGCTCCAGAAATGTTCTAATTTCACCCCATCCATGAACCTTGAATCCAGGCAGTGCTAATCCCATTAGATTTATCCCGATCCACTGCAGTGTTTTCACTGTTTATTATGTTTTGCTTTGCAAATGTTCATGATTATTAATCAACAAAAGCAACAGCATGTAGATACTCTAATCTAAGGAAATCCTGATTATTTCTAACAAACAAATATTATAATTTACTGGCAGTAAAAGGATTCCTTTAGATCAGAGTAGTGAAAGCAGATGTGAGTAAAGGCAGAAGCCTATAAAAAGAGTGAATTGTGACATGGGGCTAAGTGCCTAATAAGAAGCTGAAAAGGTGTAAGTGATTATATTTGCTCTACATTTAAATTGGACCCTCAAAATTAAGTAAAATGTAATTTTTTAAGGAAATAAAACATTCATGAAAAGTACATCCCTTACTATGTTTTTTTTAATTATTATTATAATAGCTAAATACAGGCAGTACTTCTTTAAAAATATAATTAAAAGTATTTTTACCTAGGACTAATATAGGAATCAACATTTGTCTTGATATTAGCGTCCTGTAATCTGCTGTAAAGAGGGATTGAGACACACCAACTCAAACATAAATGCACACACACAATAGGTTGGACTTGATGGACTTATGTCTTTATTCAACCTCAAATACTATGTAACTATGTAAAAAGGCCAGCATTAAGAAACAATCAGACAAAAAGTTTTCTTTAACTCTTAATGGCACTAATGGCTGCCAGCTGAACGATCCACTTGCTGTTGCATACTCACAGTTTTTAACAGTTAATCACAGTTTTTCACACAGACTTGAGGGGCTGCTCATCCAAAGGCTTCCACCACGAACATAGAAAGCAAAAGGGAACAGAGCGCCACCTCGGTGAGTAAAATTGTTTATTAGGATGAATAAAACAAGGGATAAATGTACTCACAAGCAAACGTTTTCATCAGGCTTTAGCAACAAACAAGAGGCCACACTGTCTGTTAACCCATATGCTATCACTCCGACTATGCAACACGTGAGCCTCGGGTCACATCACCGTCCACCGGCCAGAGTCAGCCAAGATTGGCGCGTTTCAGGGGCAAGCACCCTTTATCAGAATCATCTGATGAAGGGGGCTTGCATAGTTGGGATGATACCTTGTGGGTTAACAGATAGTGTGGCCTCTTGTTTGTTGCTAAAGCCTGTTAAAAACGTTTGCTTGTGAGTACATTTATCCCTTGTTTTATTCATCCTAATAAATGATTTTACACACGGAGGTGGCACTCTGTTCCCTTTTGTTTTCTAAGAAACAATTAGGTTGTCCTAGTGAACATGCATACAGAAAGACAGAGCAGAGTATAAAGAATAATAACATCATCAGTGTGCTGCTGATCCTCCATTCTCCAATCACCATGCTAAGGACAGGGAGGTGACACAACTATATTTCTTAACTACAATAAAAATGTGGTGTCACCATTCTGGCTGTGCTGGCTAGTAGAGGTGCCTGAATTCCAATATTCCACGGCTGGTTAAATGTAAGACTCACATACAGTATATGTATTTCAACTGTGTAGTCAGTTTGGATAAGGTTTATAGGGATGTCACATCTCTCACACGATGAGCAATCTTGGCAGCAGTGCTGGTAGCCAACTCTTTTATTAGTCAGCAGCTGATCACATAAAAGCTCATGACTGCTTCAAATATTTCAAGGACTTCTTAAATGCTGAATAAGCAGGTCTTTATCTTGCAGGAATAATGTGAACACTAATAGGCAAAAATACACAATCCTGCGCTACAATATAAGTTTTACATTTATCTATACAGTACATGATGAGTAGTCAAACCCTGGTGGATGCAGTTCATCTGAAACTTGTATTCTGGGGCATTTTTGCACCTAAGGTAACCATATACATGGACTACTGTTTCAGATCATGAAACGATTATGTTTCCAACTGATTTAAAAAAAAAAAGAGCAGTGTATGTAGCACATGTTGGTCTTGTCCCAAATAGAAGAGAACAACTGGAATACACTGATGATTTTGCTACACATCTGATGGATGCCCTGATGTTGCAGCTGCCTGCTGCAATCCTATAGTGACTTATTTGAAGAGAATATTTCAGGGGAAAACAAAAACTGCTACAGAAAGAAACTGCAGGCACCTAGATGTACTTGCAGTAGCCTTCAAAAGCCTTCAGTGACAGCCAAATCCCAGGCTGTTCTGACGGACCAAGCTTCAGCACACCCTTGCTAGTGACAAAGCTTGCCCAACACTTCCTGGCCTGCCCCTTTGGCATTCCTGTTGGTCAGCGAGGCAGTCCATCATAGTGATGGTGCAATAGGTTGCCGCAGGCGTTAACAGCAAGCTTCCGCACTGCCTGGAAGTGTCAACATTTTGCCTTTCAAAATGACACTTATGGAGATCCCAGTTTGACTTACAGCATGATTAGTATAATTCTAAATGAAACAATGGTATTTTTCAATTTTTTGTTTATAATTATGTGTGAATCAGAACAGATATATGTACTGTATAAAATATAGTATTTGTACCCCATTGTTGGACATTATTATACATAAATAATAACATCTGCCCCCTTTTTGCTCCAAAGTCAAATTACACATAAAAATAGTTATGCATGTAATAGCACAATGCAACAATAACTTGATGTCCTATTTTTGCAGGCATTGTGTCTCCAGCATGGGATTCAACAGAGGCCAATATCTATCTGCTGCTAGAGAGGAAAGTGAGGAGAATGCTCTTTCTCCAGAAGCATGCTATGAATGTAAGATCAATGGTTACCCAAAGAAATCTGGAAGGTCCAAGAGAAGTTCTAATGATACACAACCTCTAATGGTAAGATATCGGTCTGATGTCTACCGCCATAAATGTTCATCTGACATAAATCACTGGGTTATTATATCCCAGTGTTTAGTAATGTTTCACAGTGAACTACAGGTTATAAAGGTAATATAGTCTAAGCAGTCAAAAATCTAAAAATAACAGAGAGTGTTTGAGCTAATGTGAGAAGGTGACCAAAATGATGCTACAAATCCAGGCACAATTGTGGGGAGGTAGTATTTGTCACTCTGCCTATTGTTATTAGTCAGATATAGTTATCTATATTGGGGCTGCAACCACATTTTGCAGTGGGTCCAATTAAAATAAATGTATTTAAAAATTAAAGTCAATGCTGCTCTAGTTATAACACAATTTACTACATAAAATCAGACATTCCTACTCTTGTGCAGACTGGGAAGAGAAATTGATAAAGTAGGCCCAGAATCCATTATCTCTTTCACCATTTTATATCTATTAGAATGTAAATCGGGAGGTAGAAAAAAAAAGACATTAACCACTTTAAGTTCGAGTGAATCCAATGGACAACCCAGGTGAGGGATTACAGCAAAGAGATATTTGAATACCTAAACCCCAAAGCAAAGGAAGAAGCTTCTTGTGTCAGAATTATGCCAAATAAGAAGCCATTTTCTCAATGTCACATGACATGAATACTTTGGTTCTTTGGCTCCCACCCTTTATTATATAAAAATATAATTATACTGTTTGTACATTTCTTGCCCAATTATAATTTTAGAATTCACTTACACAGGATGAAGAGATAAGTCTGAAGAGTCTAGATATAGAGGAGCCACTGAAGATTAAGATAAACATCTCTGAGCTCAATACAAAGAACCACATCCTGGAAATTGTTCCTGCAATCCAACCTCTTAACAACCATGTACGCTATGTTATATCTCAAGGCAATAACACCATCTTCCGCATTAACCAAAGGGATGGACTCAGTTACCTCCATGCAACTCATAACAATATTCAGCCAGGAACTTACACACTTGGTATAATCAGCATTTCTCTATTTAAGAAAAGTGACTTTATTAAACTGGAAGAGAAACATGACGACAACTACCTCCAAGGAGAGCTGGGGGAAACGCTCAGAATGAGACTACAGATAGACATCTCTTAAACTAAAGAACACATTCAAACTCAGAGCAGAACAACCACATTTGGTCGTTTATTTATCCAACTGAGCATGTGTTCATATTGAAAGTTTTAAGGAGGAAGTGACTGATTTTAATGGACCACTCTTTTTTTGTCTCACCCCTTCACAGTGACTGTTTCAGGAAAAAAAATTGTGGTAATGTTTTACATTTTTTTTTAATGAAAAAGCCAGCTTTGGTTATAGTAATTTAAATATATTGTAGCCTCAAATAATGAAACGTGCACAGCTGTAAAGAAATTGTATATACAGATAAATTCCAAGTTATTGTAACAGTTGTTTTTGTAATAATAGTTTTCCTGAACAATTCCCATTGGTAAGTTAATTTGTATAATAATACCCACTCTGTACAAAATGATATAATAACTTAGTCTCTCTCTGAAATTAAGCCCACTACATGAGTTGTGCACACAAGTCGCAGTTCACACAATGTGGTTTGATCCAATAAAGGACACTCCGACATTCCCAATTCATATCTGCTGAAGATTGTTTCAAAGCAGGCTAAATAAAAGGATTAACAACGACATGTAGCCTAATATCATATCATTTAAATCTTTAAAACATTAAAAATTTGGCACATAACTTAGTACAGCTTCAAGTGTATATATAGCCAAAACGTGTTGTTAGTTTTTCATAACGTAAGGCAGGCTTAAAAGCCCTATCAAGTTATTTTTTGCTTGAGACAGAGGAAATGTCTCCGATGTGAACGTAATTGCCAGTCTTGAAGACTTAAGTCATAAGAACAGGTATCCCCACTGGAGGAGTTTCTCTTACTTCTTGCTCTGATGACAACTCAAAACATTTGTATTTCTCCTCTCTTTCTGTCTTAGTGATAATGGTCATCAGAACAAACAGAACGGTGAATTTCCCCTAAGAGTAAACAGGCAATAATAAAAACTTGACAATGGGTCTAACCTTTCCATACTCTATCCAAAACAAAGAATAAAGGCCTTTGCTTACTCTTTAATATAGGAGTGCTAAAATCTAGGCATTAGGTTTCAGTATACGATTTTAGGATTCCAATATCAGTTTGCAAAACAGAACCTTGTTAAATAAACAATCTGAATACCCCAAATCATAATCATGGCATCCTACTTTAAGTCCTTGCCCACAGTTCGACCACCAATGGCATAATTTAATTTTTGGATCATTTATTAACTCCATCCATTAATGTTACAAAACATTTTACATAACCTATACCCTGACTTTGAAAAACGTAACACAGCAGGTAATGCTAAAATGCTGAAATAAAATGAACATAGTAAACATGTAGCTTGATGTGAAGCACATCAGTGAAACACTACTGGCAGAATAATTTGGGATATACTGTATATATTTTTTTAGAAACAGCTTCTAAACTCACCAAAAAGGTTAACTATAATTGCAAGTTATTGATATCAGCTATATGAGTTTTGCTATAAAATCTGGCTCAGATTTCTGTAACATACATTTAAGAAATGTATAATGAAGTAAAAGGATGCCTGGGTGAACCCTGATAGGTGTGTTTGAAGTATTAGACCCAGACAATCAAAGTTAAGTATGGGTTTATCATCTACCACACCAATCAATATTGGTTTTGTAAGTATTTGGAGGTATTTTGCTATAGTGCCCAGTAAACTGTAAATGTGTATTTATTTGCTACAGTAATATATGACATGCATTCTGAAAATTAATTTAAATGAGCATAGTGCCTTGTTTGTTTGTTATTTTACTTTGTCGTAATTGAGCCATTTTATTATATTCATTTGTGAATAGGTAAGCTCTGAACTGCTTTGGTTCTTTAAAATTCAGACAAATAATTTTTCCTCATGGGAATACATTAGTCAAGTACTCACATTTAAAGACACCACATAGTCTGAACACAGGTATGAAAAAAAAACAACTAATAAATTACCATGAGCGACGTCAAAGAGAGCTAAGAGCCACATGTAGCTCACAAGTCGCTGGTTGAGGACCACTGCTCTAGACTAGTCCTATTTTTTTTTGTTTTGCTCTTTCAACTATTTGATAGAGGTGTTTTACGATCAGTTGGAAGAGGTCAGGTGCTCATTTAATAGAAGTTCATAACATCAAACACTGGACCTTTTCATTTGCTTTATAATAGATAATAGACGTGAGTTATGCTCTTCATCTGCTGTAGCAAAATACCGTGAATGCTTCATGTTTTCTGTGGCATACCATTTTTCAAAGTACTGTAATTTTCTCCCATGTGCCTTGTAATATACTATTGAAAATGGTGCTTCGTAAATGATTTACTGTAGGCAGCTCCAGAAAGTCCGTAACTAGTGCAATCACTATTGGCTGTAATATTTGACATATACAGTAAGTCATATCTTTCGACAATTGTTTTAAAACAGACATTGTTTAGCACCATCTTGGTCTGCCCATACACTGTCCATACATCAATACGTGGGATAAACTGTACCTTCAACATGCCCTGCCCTTACATGTGTCACATGTGCCTTACATGTTTTGTTATTCGCCTATAGTTTGCCATTACATATTAACTACATTTACTGGATACAAAAAAAGGATGTTCTAAAGCTTTTTCCTAACGCAGTTGATTTCTATATATATAGTCATCCAGAGCAAAGGGAAAATCCAGTAAAAGTATACCACAGAACCAATTTAGATTATACCAATTATTATTTTAAAGAATGAAAACAAATATTTGATCAAGTTTAACAAGGGCAAAGTTGTTGGTTTGTTTTACAATTCCATGTGTACCTGGTTGACATCTGTTTTCTTACAATAAAATATATTTTTGGGGTAAGCGTTTTCTTTCTTTGTGCAATGTAAAATAAACATAACCCTTCTCTATATTAGATTCTAAAAACTTTCAACGGTAGTGATTGTTACAGAGAGAAAAGTAGCCAAACAGTGGTGATTGGCAAAAAGTTTTATCTGCTCTCTTTACTATTTGTAGCCAAAACAGTGTATTATATCATATATCGGTTAATAGGCATTGATCAAGTTTTTAGGAGGAGGTGAGGCTCCATAGAACAAAAATGTAAGATAAATTTCACACTAAAAATACAATAGTTTTACAGAGAGAGCTTGCAAGTACAAAGTGCCCATTTAAAGTCTTGAAAATAAACTACCTGGCCAAAAAAAGCCACCACCTAGATATAAAAAAAGTAAATGGGTCAGAGCCTTCCATTATAATGTACCGATATTTATCTTTCGATACTACTCGCCAATACTGCTTGCATAAAGTCTGCCAATGAGGAAACCGGGCTTTATGCTTCCCAGCCAATCAACATTGAACCAGCCAAACAGCATGGTGCCAGCTTCCCGGCCAATGAGGAAACCAGGCAGCAAGTCATTACCCACCGCCCGGCTTCCTAATTGGCCTGGAAGCTGCCTCCATGTTCCCTCGCAGCACTGCCGGTCAGAGGAAGTATCCCTCTGACCATTAGTTCCGGTATCAGGGGTAAGTATCGGAGCATTTGGGCGAGTACGGGTATCGGTGCATCACTAATAATTACTCTTGGTTCAGCAATGTTATGGGCCCAAAAAAGAGGTTTGCTGGCTACCTGAATATACTGAATGACCAGATTTTTCCATCAATGGATTTTTTCTTCCCTGATAGCACGGGCATATTCCAAGATGGCAATTGCAGTATTTATGAGGCTCAAATTGTGAACAAGTGATTCATGGAGCATGAGACATCATTGTCACACATGGATTTTTCCACCACAGGGTTCAGACCTTTACCCCATTGAGAATCTTTGGGATGTATTTTACGCAGTGGTCCGACGCCACCCTAAAGCTTTTGAAACTATGCCATGGCGAATGCGTGCTGTAATTAAAGTTAAAGGTGGTCCATGAAAATATTAGAGTGTGTGACTTTTTATTTGGCTATGCAATGTATATAATGTTTGCTTGGTAATCCATTAAGGATTTAATTATGCCGGTACACAGTACTAATTTCCTTCATTTCTACAAATGGGTGAGTGCAGGTTCACTTCCATGATTACCAGTTTTGTGAGTATATCATTGAACAGACAATTTGCTGTGTTTGGTTTCTTTGTATTGTCAAGCACACTCTGCCAGGAAATTGTTCAGAATGGATGTATAAACACTGTGGAATCCTTTACTCACAGGATATTTTCACATACAAGTGTTGAATCAGTTTACAATATTTCCTGTAGAGCATATGAAGACCATAGCTAGCAGTTATTTGTACCATCAGAAGATAAAATCAAGATGTTATACATTTTTATAGTCGCTGTAAGTGGATGAACAATTTTAAGCAGTGACTTAAAGCTGCCAAATGGCTTCAATAGTCTGTTTGAAAGCAAGTGTTTAAAGCAGTCCTCCAGATTTTGTGCACATCATCTTTCTTTTTCTGATTGTGAGCTGTATCAGTACCGGCAATAATGCAAATACTTAAACAGCAATTGAGAGTAGCAAAGGAATTACATATGTAGATAAAGAATTGGAGTAAGATGGATGTGCAATGGCTGCTCTGCTATCCAGATAGATAGGGAGATGACTTAAAGCTGTATATAGTGTTACGGAATAGTATGATTTTCACAGACAGCATCAGCACATAATTTAGTTAGATGTGTAATTTATGTTTTAACTTTTACATGTAGCTTGGCTTAAATATTCTGGAATAAACCAGGGGGGGGGGATCACATTCAAAACTTTATAAGTACCCCTTACTCATTCATAAGGGGGGGCATTTTGTCGACCCTTTATTAAAGGGGTATCCCCATTGCAAATAGACCGCCCTGCCTGCAGACCCCCACAACCAACGCCCCAGGGCTTATAGTTGTATGGTTTTTGCAGGGAGGGGGCGCTCACTTGTCTCCCCCCCCTTTCCTGCCTTGCCAGGCTTGTGCTCGAATCAAGGGTCTGGTTGGGATTTTTTTTTAACTTGGGGTCCCATCTTACTTTCTTACCAGACCTAAAGGGTCTAGTATGGTTTGGGAGGGAGACTCCACACGGGTTTGTTTTTCTTTACTTTTTTATTATTTCCTTTACTTTTTTTTCTTTTACTTTTTTTTACATTTAAAAAAAATAATATTTCGTTTACATTTTTGTTATTCTGCTTGCTACCTCGAGTGGCATTAGGCTATTCACTTACTGCCGTTTGGCCCCTATAAGAATAGGGGTGGACGGCAGCAAGCTGATCCAGATGTTGGATCGGTTGAGTTGAACAGCTTCTTTACTTCGGCCAGCCGATTTATGGCTAATTTTAGCTGATGTATGGCTGAAATCAGCCGTACAGTGCTAAAGTGAATAGCTGAACGGTGCTCGGCTCAGTTTACTTCGGC